GCTTTACTGGTTTTCAGGGGGTTTCTCTTCTGGGCCTGCACACTGTATGTTTGGGGTTTTTGGCTGGCATCTCCTGGATGCTGGAAGATGGGTGCCAACATTTATTCTTAAAATCGTTTTGAGCATGGTTTAATTTAGCATAAAAGCTGCTTTACTGGTTTTCAGACTAAGGCACTCCATGGAGCTCACCCCACCTCCATGCCCTCTCTCCGTCCCCATTAGCTGTGACAGCCCAATCATATGTCTCCCTCCCTCTGATCAGCCAGCCCAGGGCTCCTTGTTTGAAGTTGGCTTCATAATTCCTTACTTTACTTGCCATCCCAAGAAGAAGGACTTGATTCTCGTCTTATCTCAAAGTGGATTCTCCCAAACCAAAATCTCCCTCCTTCGTCTCCTAGGAGAGTGTTTCTGTCAGGCGGGCCTCCTGCCACTGTGGGTTGTGGGCAGCCCTCTGCCTGGCACGTTATTACACAGTGACATCAACTACTGTCCCAGTGCCAGTGGTTTCTCGGGGATGCCCCATCTTGCCTCTGACTTTCCATCTCATGCCCATCTCCAAAGGGGACATCACTCATGTCCTTGTTGTTCCAGTGAGAAGCCCTGATCCAATGCTTTTTGATTTACCTCTCACTTAGTTTTATCTCTTAAATCTCAGGGAAAGAGCCCACTTCTTCCCATCTACAATATTCTTGCATTAATCCAACAGCCTTGATGCTGGTCAATCTAAATTGCCTTGCACCCCCTCCCCCATTGCTGCACACTGGAGCCAAAATGCTTCTGAAATATAAACCTCATTGCATAACCCCCCTTCAAAAACTCTCTAGTGGCTTTCCATTTAATTCCACACTCCTTAAAGGGACTTGTCTGGCTTTGAACCCCCTGAGCCCCATCCCCCAGGCTGCCCTGTTTTCTGTGTGCCCCAGGAAGGCAGGTGTCCTGCCTTGTTCAGTGCAGAGCTTGGTGCGTGGTAATGGTGGTTTGGCGTTAGTCAGAGGTGAGGCATGTGTATTTTACTATGATGAGTAGGCAGCAAGTTGCATTTAACTTCTTTTTCTAGGAGATGGACCATAATTTTCTTATATTAAAGTGCTGTAGAGACTGAGCATGGTGGCTCATGCCTGTAATCCCAGCACTTTGGGAGGCCGAGGCAGGTGGATCACCTGAGGTCAGGAGTTCGAGACCAGCCTGGCCTACCTGGTGAAACCCCATCTCTACTAAAAATACAAAAATTAGCTGGGCATAGTGGCAGGCACCTGTAATCCCAGCTACTCAGGAAGCTAAGGTGGGAGAATCGCTTGAACCAGGGAGGTGGAGGTTGCAGTGAGCCAAGACTGCACCATTGTACTCCAGCCTGGGTGACAGAGTGAGACTCTGTCTCAAAAAAAAGAAAAAAAAAGTTATTGTAGAGGTTTATGGTGGCTCTTTTATTTTACTTTTCTTCCTTTTTTGAAACATCTTTTGGGTGGAAGTGGATTTATTTGGTAGCACTCCTTGGGTCAGAAATGGGACTTCTCTTTGAAATACATTCTTACAGAGAGAGAAACTTGACCACGGTTGGTTGTAGATTTAGTGCCTAGGAAGTTGGTATTTGAAAAGCATAACCTGTGGTTATGCTGTCTGAAGGCATGGTTTATTATTTTTTCACTTTCATTGGTCTCACTCCTGCTTCCTTATTTCTTGGACCAGGAAATCCTAAAACATAGAAGTTAATTGGTGGCTGCTCAGAGCCCCTTGGCCTGGATAGAGTCTCCTGTGAACACCTAAGCCTCTGAACCCAAGGTCAGAGCTCTTTCTTTCCCCTAGGCCCAAATGCTGCTCGCTCTGTTTACACACTTCCTACATATCGATGGTCTGTGCCTTGTTCTCGCGTCCTTTATGGTCTTTGTTTTAGTCCAGGAGCCATACTGGCCTCGGTGCAGTCCCTGCAATGCAGTCTCATTCTCTGTGACCTCAGTTGGGTCCTTAACATCCAGATTCTTAATGTCTCAGAGCCTCAGTTTTCTTATCTGTGGAATGGTCATCACGACAGTGCCTACAGGGTTGTTGTAAAGATTAATTGAGAAAGCATGTTAAATCCCTTGACATAATAGGGGAACCATCAGTGTTAACTGCTGCTTCTACCGATAGTCTGTTATTTTGACATTTGCCACCTGCTAGCTGTGTGACATTGGGTGAGTTATTCAGCCTCTCTGGGCCTTAGTTTTCTGTTGTAAAATGGTGTTAATGTAAGTGCTTACCCCTCACAGTATTGCTCTGAAGATTACATAGAATAATCCATATAGAGGGCCATGAATGGTGCCTGGCCATAGTCACTGTGCTTAGTAAACGTCAGCTCACTGCAGCCTCCACCTCCTGGGTCCAAGCAATTCTCCTCCCTCAGCCTTCCAAGTTCGGATTATAGGCGTCTACCACCACGGCTGGCTAATTTTTGTGTTTTTAGTAGAGACAGGTGTGTCTTTTTATTGGGTTCAATTCTTAAAATATTTTAAAGCTTTATAAAAGAGCAACACAAGGGGTCCTTGTAAGTGGTAGATACATGCACCAATACAGGTAATAAAATTACACAGAGCTTAATACACACATGTGCACACAAATAAGTGCAAGTAAAATGGGAACTCTGAGGAAAAGTTATGGATTGTATCCGTGCTGATATCCTGGTTGGGATATTATGATCTTGCAAAATGTTACCATCTGGGGAACTGGATAAAGGGTATACAGGATCCCTCTATATTATTTCTTCTTCTTCTTCTTCTTCTTCTTCTTCTTCTTCTTTTTTTTTTTTTTTTTGAGATGGAGTTTCGCTCTTCTGCCCAGGCTGGAGTGCAGTGGCACGACTTCTGCCTCCCGGGTTCAAACTATTCTCCTGCCTCAGTGTCCCGAGTAGCTGGGACTACAGGTGTGTGCCACCACGCCTGACTAATTTTTGTATATATATATATTTTTTAGTGGAGACAGGGTTTCGCCATGTTGGCCAGGCTGGTCTCGAACTCCTAACCTCAAGTGATCCATCTGCCTCGGCCTCCCAAAGTGCTGGGATAATAAGACATTAGCCACTGCTCCCGGCTCCCTCTGTATTATTTCTCTATCTGCTTGTGGTTATCTACACATGACTGACTATATGAGTAATTACAGTTATCTTAATTCAAAAACTTAGCCTTAAAAATTTGAGTGTTATCTCTAAATATAGTGTTAGAGAAATAGCAGCTCTGAATCTTATTGTACAGAGAATAGAGCCAGGTTAGTTAAAATGTAGCCCAGTTTTCTCTTTTTCCAGGAAAGCGGTGGACTCAGATTTTTGAGGAGAGTGGGCGCTGGTGAGCGGGGGTAAGCAGGCCCTCAAGTGACAACAGAAATTTAAACACAGAGGCCACTTAGTTGCTGTGATCTGCTACCTGGTGTATAAAGGGTGCTGCAGATGCTTTGGCGTGCTGGCTGGGGGGCCCCAGGGTTTTTATCTGCACGCTTGCAGACCATCATAGCTGTGCGTGAAGAAAATTAACTCGGGTTGGTAGCATAGCAGTCTTCACTTAAGAGCTTGTGTGACCTCGAGCTGATGGACTATCTAGAGCAATTTGAGCTGGACTTCATCTACATCAAATTAGATCCAGGTTTAAAACTACCCTTATAAATCTCCCTTGCTTCTCTCTCCCTGGCAGCTCTGTCTGAGGCAGCATATCCCCGCCCCACCGCTTGGACAGGAGGGATCTCATGAAAGTGTTGGGTGGAGAGGTCTTGTCTGCTGGCTCTGATGGCACTGTCTTGGTAGGGTTTCAGATTTAGAACCAGATTTCAGGTCTCCTCCCTAAGCTAGAAAATCATTCCAACAGATCCGATTTCTCTGAGCTAATTTACTAGGATGATCTCTACTTGCATTTAATAAAATATTCAGAGACCTATTGAATTTCAGTTGTAATGCTACTGAGTTTGACTTAGTAGTACGCTTCAATTCCCAAATGCGTCGCATGGGCTGTTACTGAATGTGGGTCACTAGGAAAGCTTTGACTCCTAACAGAATTATTCACTGAAGTCTTAGTTATAAAGCATTACTAAGAAGTTATTTAGTCCCAAAGCGACAGGTTTCAAAAAATTTTGCACGTTGGCTGGCCATAAATCCATTTATATTCACTCCTCCCCCCATAGAATAAAACTTAAGCTACCTTCTTGGTGTTTGTTGAACTGCAAATCAGTTCCTTGTCATTGATTTAAAATAAAACAACCCTGATGTATCTTTAGCAGACAAGAGCCTTCTTTTGTTTCACAACCGATTTCTCCAACGGACGGAGAACAAAGACCCATAGTCCTAAAGTGCTTATGTGTAGCCTCGTATGACCACAGTAAATTGTACATGTAATGAAATATTACTCTGTGTGTGTGTGTGTGTGCGCGCGTGCGCGCGCGCAATCATAGTAGTCTTTTTAATGTATATTTAAAAAATAACAACCTAGTTTTCATGGTATGGAGCTGGTTGCATAACCTTAGAATGTAGGCCACTTGGGGGGGAGGGGGCTGTGCCATTTTGAAATTATCAGTTTAAGACTCTTGTTTAATAATTATGACAGCAGCTGTTTTCTGAAGGATTCCAGTCTGTTCATATGGTTGGGTCTGTATGGTTAGTGGAGTCTAGATGCTACAGGCCTTTCTCATCATTCACACATGGGTGGCTGTGCTGCTGGCCCCCACCCCACCTACTTCAGTTTACTGAATATCTGTGAGGCCAGACCGCCTTCCACTCCATTGCTTCGCCCTCAGCACATGCTCACACACACAGACACACAATGTCAAGGTTTCACAGGGGTTACAAGTCCCCCTGCTCATCCTCCAGTCACTGGAACTGAGAAGTGAAATCTGGTGGTGGTGAGTACATTGGTTGAACCCAGCAGAGCCAGTGACCCTCCGTGCCTAATGTGCAGGCACAATGTTAGGGACGCTTTTTTACATGAGTCATTTGTTTGGCAGGTTTGTGACATCAGGAGTCTCATTGTCATTTTTATTTCTTACAGTTTTATGTGCTGAAAGAGTTGGCCAGATGACTAAGACATATAATGACATAGATGCTGTCACTCGGCTTCTTGAGGAGGTAAGTGCTCCAGGGGAAGGCAAAAGAGTTGTTTATAATCGACTGGTTTTCATTGATACTGATTAAAGCATGCCTTATCACCTGTTTCAGTGAGGAATCTTGGAAATTGGTCTCTTTCAAGGTATAATGTAATGGCTTTACTTTTTGAACTAGTAGCTACGTAGGCCTTTATAGCTATAATTTTGTGCAGATATTTTATGTTTTTAAAGGAATATATTAATGGCACTAAATGTGGTGCGTTTAAATACTTGGTAGAATATCCAGTTGTAAGTGTAAAAAATCCTGAAACATTGACCAATGATATATTTTAAGTGCATCCAAAAAATGTCAGAAAAATGTATCATCATCTGTGTCTTCCTAATGTATTTTAAGTTTTGACTTAGGCTACTGGAATATTATGCAGTGTCAGCATAGAAATAAGCAAAATAAGCATGGCAAGAAAAATTTAAGTAAGTTGCTTAAGATTGGGTGAGCTGCCTATATTTTAGAGACTGGTTCTCTGAATTTCTTCTGAGTATTCTGTTGCAGTTGAGAATTAAGTATGACGAAGGTCTCTAGAAACAGATGGGTATAAGTGTATCTGCATGCCTGGAACAGGCCAGAACATGGTAGGTTCTTAGTATTTGTTGAATAAATCTCCATCATTAATACACTGCCCCCTTCACTGAATCAGGCCTTAAATAGACAGGTGTTGCCTTCTAGCCCCTTGCTTCTGCTCTAGAAACTGGAATGATTTTGGGGTATGTGATTATTATGTGGAGGACACAGAAATCATTGTCATTGTTTTCAACCAGTGGGAGGTCAGGGTTGAAGCTCAGACAGAAACTGGGCCAGACTGGTTTCCCAGAGGTTTTTTTTGGGGTGTGTGGCATTCTTTCACTGTTTTTATGTCTCTCTATTCCCATGTTTCTACCTCTGCACATCCAGCATTCTCTTCCTGGTCCTGCAGTCCACTCCTGTTTGAGTCACAAACTCATCAGCTCCCCAGAAGTGATGTCAGGGTTTTTGGCTATGTGACAGGGTGTCAAGGGCGGTATTTTGGGGCACCGGCCTTCAGCCTTTGGGTGTCACTCCAGTTGCGGCTGTCTTTGGTGTTAGCCACGTGGCAGGCTGCCTTTCCTTGGTTGGCACCACTGACTTTTGAAAATGGTTGATTGCTGACCCCTTTCTACTGCAGCCGTTTCCCCCAACAGTGCTCTCCAGATTTTACAGACTGCTTTTGGCGCCCACTCATCAGCCCATGTTCAGGTCATTGAGTCTTCTGAGAGGGGTCCTAAATCTGTACCTTCCAAGGCCACCACTCAAACTCTTGGGGTCTCAGCAGTGAGATTTTAGCTTCTCTCTGCTTTACTCTTCCTTGCAGCTGCCACCGTCCATGCCCTCTGTGACCCTCTCACCCTTTCTCTAAGGCTCCTCGCTGTGTAGTCAAGGCCACCCATTGCTCACGGTCCTGAATCCTCCTCTAGCCCTTCACTGTCACTGGGGACATGGCTCCTGCTCTCCCACCCTTGGCCTTCTATGGCATTTAACTACGTCAGTTCTTTCCTGCTTCTCAGTCTTGTGCTGCAGGGCCTGCCAGGGACCTTTGAAGCTGGCCCCAACCCTATCCCCAAGTAGTCTGTGCCCTTGCTGAGCCCCAGGCTTGGGAGTCACCCCACAGTCCTGTTTGTTTTGTTCATCCAGCTGGATGAACAATGTATTTTTTATTTTTCTGTAGAGGTGGGGTCTCCTTATATAGCCCAGGATGATCTTAAACTCTGAGGCTCAAACGGTCCTCCTGGTCTGGTGCAGTGCCTTACGCCTGTAAATCCCAGCACTTGGGGGGGTCAAGACAGGTGGATCACTTGAGCACAGGAGTTTGAGACCAGTCTTGCCAAAATGGCCAAACCCCGTGTCTACAAAAAATACAAAAATTAGCCAGGCATGGTGGTGTGTGCCTGTAACCCCAGCTACTCGGGAGGCTGAGGTGGGAGGATCGCTTGAGCTCGGGAGATGGAGATTTCAGTGCACCGAGATCATGCCACTGCACTTTGCCTGGGCACCAGAGTGAGACTCTGCCTCAAAAAATAAAACAAAACAAAATTAGAACCAAACTACAGCCACTGTTTATTTGAATCTCTCACATTTTTAAATTAAAAAATGCTCTCACCTTGGCCTCTCAAAGTGCTTGGATTACAGGCGTGAGCCACCAGAGCCAGCCTGTTTTATTTTTAAAGGGTCATCATGGCAACAGCGTCTGTTTGTGTCTATGTGTTCCATGTCTGATGCCATCCTGTTCCTGTCCTGATAAGATTCACGCCTGAGTTACTGCCTTTCCTTGGAACTAGGAGGGTGTCCTGGTTAAAGTCTAACTCTCCCAGTCATGTAGCTGTTGCCCTGTGCCATGCTTTTCCTGGGCTTTGGCTCTGTTTCTTCTGTTCTCGTGCCGTGGTTTGCATACCTGCTATAGGCAGGCAAGTGGGGTACTGGCGGATTTGCACAGGATCCCAAAGCACAGCCTTCCACCAGCGTGGAGAGTTCGCTTCTGGTTTTAAGGGGAACAAGATGCTGTGACTCGCCTGGGCTTGCTGCTGTCTGGAATGCACCTTTGGGCAGAGCTTGTGTCCTCCTCAGTTACAGAGAGGATGCTTCCACTGGCCCCTTAGTCATGCTTTTTATCCTGAAATTGCTGAATGAGATGAGTCAGTTGCTAAGTGTAGGCGGCAGGCTGTTCGGAATCTCTAGTAGGTGTGTCAGTCAGCGCTAGAGTTCATTGGTAAAAGGGGGCTGAGACTCAAGTTACAGTCTTTTTTAAGTCTATGCTTTGAAAGCATAGTGAGGAGAGGGAGGAGGCAGTTAGAATGAGCTCTACCTTGCCTCATTTCTTGGGGGAATAAAGGAACTAGTTCTTTTAATAGCTTATTTCCAAGGGCCTAAATTACTTGTTTGTGGTCTCTGTTTCTCATTGTAGTTTAATCCAGTGACCATATTCTAGCTGTCTTCTGGTTTTTATCCTTTTTATTTTTTTGGTAGACATGGGGTCTCACTATGTTGCCCAGGCTGGTCTGAAACTCCTGGCCTCCTCAAACTCCTGATTCTCCCACCTTGGGCTCCCGAAGTGTTGGGATTACAGACATAAGCTGCCATGCCCAACCCGTTTTCTTGTTTTTAGAAGTAAACATTAATCATATTTTGGCTAGAGAAATGGGAGGTTTTTTTCATTCTTGTAATTCTCAAAGAAAAACCCAACCAGCCTGTTGCCTCAGTAATATTAAAGAGAAAAAACTAGAGACTCTACAATAACATTTCTGTTTAAATTTCCATTTTATCTATAACTATTTTTAATATAACTTGTTATTTTCGATGTTTTGAGTACATAGTAGGTGTATGTATTTATGGGGTACATGAGATACTTTGGTAAAGGCATATGCTGCATAATAATCACACCAGGGTAAATGGGGCATCAGGCTGAGCAACATGGCTCACACTGGTAATCCAGACACTTTGGGAGGCTGAGGTGGGAGAATTGCCTGAGGCCAGAAGTTTGAGACCAGCCTGGGTAACATAGTGAGACCCTGTTTCTACAAAAAGTTAGATGCTGTAACTGAGGAGGCAAACTTTGCCCAAATGTGCATTCCGAAAATGAGATAGGCATGGCGGTGCATGCCTGTGGTTCCAGCTACTCAGAAAGTGAAGTGGGAAGGTTGCTTGAGTCCAGGAGTTGGTGGCTATGGTGAGCTGTACTTGCACCAGCGCACTCCAGCCTAGGCGATAGAGTGAGACCTGTCTCAAAAAAAAAAAAGGGGGGGGGGAGGGGGGAGAAAGAAAGGGGTATCATCACCTCAAGCAAGCATTTATCATTCCTTTGTGTTACAAATATTCCAATTATACTTTTAGTTATTTTTAAATGTGCCATAAATTATTGTTAACTGTAACCACCCTATTGTGCTGTCAGATACTAGATCTTATTCTAACTCTATTTTTATACCCATTTGCTATGACTTCTTGCTTCTTCTGGCAGAGAGCATTCTTTAAAATTACTCTAAAGGTTACATTTCTGGTGTAGACCAGGGAAGTGTTTGTCCTTAGTGGGACACGAAGAGGCGAGGCAGCCGTTAGGTGCAGGGTTTGAGGTGTGAGGAGTAGGACAAAGGACTTCATTGTTGAGCTCACTGCTCTACTTTTTTTTCTTCCCCTTCCTGTCTCCCAATTCCTGTTGGTTTCTGGCCGTTTGTGTGCTGGAAGTCTTCCGCATTCTTCAGGCACCCTGGCAGTCCCTTGCCTTGCCTGAGCCATCTTCATTATTATGCTGTGTGCTTGATGTGTTTGCATTGAAATGTGCATACAAAATGTGGCTAAAGGCTGGGCGCAGTGGCTCACGCCTGTAATCCCAGCACTTTGGGAAGCTGAGGTGGGCAGATTGCTTGAGGTCAGGAGTCCGATACCAGTCTGACCAACATGGTGAAGTGCCATTTCTACCAAAAATATAAAAATTAGCTGGGCGAGGTAGCGTGTGCCTGTAGTCCTAGCTACTTGGGAGGCTGAGGCAGGACAATCACTAGAACCTAGGTAGCAGAGGTTGCAGTGAGCTGAGATCATGCCACTGCACTCCAGCCTGGGTGACAAAGCGAGACTCCATATCAAAAACAAACAAAAAATGTGACTAAGGCATGCAAAATATCCGTGCTTGTTGGAACTTGGCAGCCTAGATGCATGAAGGCAATGCAGATCAGCTAAGCACTGATGAAGCACCTGCTGAGTGTTCAGTCTGAGAACTAGTTCTAGTAGAGACATTTGATAGACTTGAGTTAGATTTTTGAGTTCACTTCCAAAGAGAAGTGAACATTGGTATTGCAGTTTTAACCAAATCCAGCTGAAACCACTTGGACTCGGTGCTAATTTTGAGTCAGCCCCTGGAGACTTTAATTCTGTACAGTCTCCCTCACACAGTTCTTTGAATCCTTTCCTCTAGGTACCTAATAAGCCCCACTGTTGAGTCTCAGAAATGACAAAGGCCCATGAAATAAGGGACCTTTTTTTTTTTTTTCCCTTCAATTTTGTATTTTGAGATGGGGTCTCCTGTGTTGCCCAGGCTGGTCTTGAACTCCTGTGCTCAGGAAATCCTCCTGCCTTGGCCTTCCAAAGTGCTGGGATTACAGGCATGAGCCACTGCACTCAGCCAAGGGAACTTCTTGGTAGACACTGGGCCAATATAGATAAATGTGCAGAGATGAGCATCTCAGTTAGTTGGGCAGATTCACCGAGTCCCCTTTGCCCCGTAACAGGACTGTCTCCACATGTACTGTGTTTCTAGAAAGGCAAGGTCATGATGGGGAGGCACAAATTGTGAGAATGAGTTGGGGAATTTGCAACTCTTTTTTTTTTGAGACAGAGTCTCTCTCTGTCACCTAGACCGGAGTGCAGTGGGATGATGTTGGCTCATTGCGAGCCCTGCCTCCTGGGTTCAAGTGATTCTCCTGCCTCAGCCTCCCGAGTGCCTGGGATTACTGGCTCCCACCACCACGCCCAGCTAATTTTTGTATTTTTAGTAGAGACAGGGTTTTGCCATGTTGGCCACGCTGATCTCAAACTCCTGACCTCAAGTGATCCCAAAGTGCTGGGATTACAGGTGAGAGCCACTGTGCCTGGCCTATCTATAGCTCATTTTTGATACTGTGATACCTGGCTGGCTTCTGGGACTGTGGTGACAGCATTGCCAGTTTGGGGATTGTGGAAGGCCTGGAGGAGAGAGACCATCATCCTGCAAGAGGGAGCCAAAGTGCTGTTGAATCCAGTCTTCTCAAACTGTACTTGACCTCAAGTGCTGCGCTCATACCGCAGTGAAGTTCCTGTGGTTAGCAAAGGGAGATGTCTGCAGTTGCATGGAATCATTGGGTGGATATCTAAGACGTTAGAAATAAAAGCTGATTATTCTCTTTATTCTAAAACTCAGTGAATCATAAAGTTAGAAGAGTTTTTCTAGAATATCTCAGCTAGCCTGCCCCTTTACTCTACCTCCATTTAACAGTTGAGGGAACCCATGTTCAAATAGAGAACCCATACTCTCCCAGTTTACAGCAGGATAGTTCACCTGGAGCAGTTCAATTTGTGACCAGTACCTGCTGTAAGAAACACAGCTTAGGTTGTGACCCAGTACTCACATAGGTAAATATGTGACAAGCAACAGTTTAAACATGAAATAATACTCTTATTACATATAATGCACTTTGGTGTTTTCAATTCTGTGCCATTGTATTTAAGTTAAAACAAAATGTCGGTTGCTGTTACTAAAATGGTTCTCAACCCACCAGTGGGTTTGAAACCTGTGGCCTGAAAAATGAATCTGTTGGTCCAGCGCAGTGGCTTACACCTGTAATCCCAGCATTTTGGGAGGCCGAGGAGGGCGAATCACCCGGGGTCAGGAGTTTGAGACAAGTCTGGCCAATGTGGTGAAACCCCGTCTCTACTAAAAATACAAAAATTAACTGGGTATGGTGGTGCGTGCCTGTAATCCCAGCTACTCAAGGGGCTGAGGCAGGAGAATTGGTTGAACCTGAGAGGCGGAGGTTACAGTGAGCTGAGATTGTGCTACTGCACTCCAGCCTGGGTGACAGAGTAAGACTCTGTCTCAAAAAAGAAAAAAAAAATCAATCTCTAGTGTACTTGATCCCTGTGAAGCAAAAGCCGTTTGCCTGGGACCATGTGGGTAGTTAATAGCAGGTGTTGGATCAGAACCTAGGACTCCTCCCCAGTGTTTTTCCTACCCCAAATGACATATTTCCATTCTTTCTTTCAAACCACATGAACAGAGTAATTAGCATATACTTCTAAAATGATTTAATTTTTCTGACTTCTCCCCTTGCCAGCACCCAAGTTGAATCTGACTGTGGTAGCAAATCGCTAAGTCTGCATTTGCTGATGGCATCTGTCCACTATCAGGGGACGTCTTTCTTCCCGCAGAGGCTACCCTGCCTTTATATGCCACTCCGAATTTTCCTCTGTGTACTGGCTCTGCCTAATTGATGCCATCGGCTGAGCTAACAGAAAATTCTGTGCCCTTAAGAGTGTTTTTGTCTCTGAATATGGCAATTTTATGCATAACATCTCCGTTTTGAAAGTTGTTTTTTTCTTAAATAAAGCCTAAGTAGCCTTTTCTAAGTAAAAAAACAAAAAAGCATGTAATTGTTTTTGAGGGAAACTTTAAACATTTTTGTTTCACATAAGGCAAAAATAAGGAATTCAATGCATTCCTGCCTAATGTATGCTGAAGAGGCTGCCTCCCTGGGTCAGCTCTTGGCTTCATTGTGAGAGCGTTTTATAATTTCTATATTCATTCATTCATTCACTTAACAAATAGCTACTGTTTCCCTGTGCCCTGCCCTGGCCATACAATAGCCCAGCCCGCAGGTGGAGAGACAGGTTATCAAGTGATTCCACAAATAACAAAAGCAGTTGCAAACAACTGTTTTTAGAAGCATTTTTTTCTTCCCCATAGGAACAAAGATTTGTTTTCATTACATTTTCAGACTTCCCTTTCCTTGCGTGATGTCCATGTAGCTCTCACATACTATATGGGCAGAGGTTACGCCTGTTTTAACAGGTATCAAATGCCAACACAGATGGTGAATTATTAATTCCTTTGTTATTTCTAGATGCTCATGTTTTCCTCATTTGACACTGAGCACCTATTGACTCCTTCAGGAAACACCGGTCTTTTGAATCCCTATTCTCCCTCTTTCCTTTCGTAGAAAGAGCGGGATTTAGAATTGGCCGCTCGCATCGGCCAGTCGTTGTTGAAGAAAAACAAGACCCTAACCGAGAGGAACGAGCTGCTGGAGGAGCAGGTGGAACACATCAGGGAGGAGGTAAGACACTGGAGTCCGAGGCTTCCAGAGGGCCCCGCCATAGGCCTGGGAGCCGTGGGCATGGCTGAGGGAGATGATAGAATGGGGTTCTAGTTGGAAGGGCCCTCCTGAGGGCACGACCGCGGCCTGAGCCCAGAACTGTCTGTTCTGAAACAGTCACCTGGGGACTGAAAGCCACCTTCCTGCAGCTCCTGCTGCTGCTTGTGTCTCCTTTCTTTCCTCAGGCCATGTGGGTGGGATGGCTTAGGGTGGGCACGGTCCTTACTCAGTCGTTCGTCTGTGTGTCATGTTGGGCCAGCCACAGTCCTTGTCCTCAGTGAGTCTAGACTGTAACCATGCAGGCTGATTAAGATGCTCCACGCTTGGCAGAAGGGCACCCAGACTAACACGACAACAAGCAGGGGTTCCTGAGTCTGGCTGGGCTTGGGCTGCTGGAGAAGGAGCCCTGTTAGGAGGCCAGCAAGTGTACACAGAGGAAAGTGGTGACTCACATTCATTGTTACAGTATAATTTTGTGTGTGTAAAACAAAACAAAAATAGCCTATTGTTTTCATGATGGAAACCCTCTTATTTCCATGATATCGATCTTGGCTAATGGACATCAGTGGTGAGAGGAAGGGCATGGAGCTTTTCGGTTTATCTTAGGGTACCTAGGTTTAGAAGGAATGATACTGATTTTCTGGAAGGGACGTGGTGTGGACAGAGGAGAGTGGCTGTGGAGTCAGGTGGGGTTGCTAGGGCAAGGATAAGAAGCTTAGAGCCAGGCCCTACTTTGTAGCTTCTTTTCTATCACCCTGTTCTTCTAACAATAAATTTTAACTGTGACAACACTCCTTGTTTCTTTTCCACTTTTCTTTTTCCTTTTTTTTTTTTTTTTTTTTTTTTGAGATAAGATCTCACTGTGTCACTCAGGCTGGAGTGCAGTCGTGAAATCACAGCTCACTGTGGCCTTGACCTCCTGGATTCAAGCGATCCTCCCACCTCAGCCTCCCAAGTAGCTGGGACTACAGACATGTGCCACCATGCCTGGCTAATTTTTGTGTTTTTTATAGAGAAAAGTTTCACCATGTCGCCCAGGCTGGTCTCAATCTCCTGGGCTCCAGTGATCCACCTGCCTTGGTCTCCCAAAGTGCTGGGATTACAGGCGTTAGGCCCTGTGCCTGGCCTCTTCTCCCTTATTTTCTATCAGAAACTTTCTTAGTGGGAGTGGATGCCCTTGTTCACGTTCCTAAGATGTATTCACCCTTTTTCCTTGTTAGAACTATTCCCAGTACATTGTTGTCTGGGTTTAACAGTAGTTTTCATATGATGAAGCATAGTTGCCACTATATAAGAAAAGTTTTAATCCTGGGCCTTCTTTAAGATGTAAGAAGAGAGAATGCTATTGTATTTTAGGAGAAATAAAGTGATTCCTGCATTCCCTGCCGCCAGCATCATGACCTGGATTCCCTCTCATGTGACTGGTGGGAAAGCATGCTGGGTTAGCCTGGCCCCCTACCAGCCACTTGTGAGCAGCGGGATATGCCGCCCAGTAACTCACAAATGGTCACCCGTCAGCTTCTTCACTATACTGTTCTTGCTTGGGACAAGCCTCACCTTGCGCAAAGAGGATCCAACTCTCTGGGAGTGGAAATGCCTTTCTTCCCCCTCAGAAGAACTTTGAATTTGAAAGCTATAACATGTTTCTCTTTGGCATATTATTAAATTATCAGTCTAGGTGTCAAAGTTAAAACTTCTATGCACATAAAATTGTCTTCTCCATGGAAGACATAATAATTCACTCTGTTATATAGAAAAGTTGCAATAAACCATAGACCCTAAGTCAAATTACAAACAAAGAGTTAAAACATAACTGCAGTTCTTCTTATAGCACTGGTTCCCTATTCATCAGTACTGCAGAGTGAAAGGGCAAGTGAAAAATTGTACAGTACAACTTTATTTAAAAACCTTAAGTACAAATCAGGGTGATTTGCAAAGCCATCTCAGCAGGAGTCAATATAGCCATTCCCTGATGGTTGCCTCTTTTCTTCCTGTGTCTGAAATTCCTATCCAGTGAGCATTGAGCATGGAACGAGGTCCGGCTGGGCTTGCCAGGAGCCTTATGAGGGTGCATCCCAGAATGGGGCTGTGTGGTCATCCAAGTGTGAGAGCAAGGGTCGGTGAGCTGCCTGTATTGGCCCGTGCAGAGCTGGCATCTCCAGGATCCTATTTGGAGTTGGGATTTGGTTCTGGCAGAAGTGAATGAATGGCCTTTTCTTTCATTTAGTAACATGATCAGTTTTTCTGGCTATTTGACCAGCTGGTCATCTGGCTACTTCCAAAGCCCCTGAACAGTCGCATCCCCACAAGCATCATTCTTTTTTTTTTGAGACCGAGTCTTGCTCTGTCGCCCAGGCTGGAGTGCAGTGGTGTGATCTCGGCTCACTGCAAGCTCTGCCTCCTGGGTTCATGCCATTCTCCTGCCTCAGTCTCCTGAATAGCTGGGACTACAGACGCCGCCACCATGCCCAGCTAATTTTTTGTATTTTTAGTAGAGATGGGGTTTCACCATGTTAGCCAGGATGGTCTCGATCTCCTGACCTTGTGATCTGCCCGCCTTGGCCTCACAAAGTGCTGGGATTACAGGCGTGAGCCACCGCGCCAGGCCGCATCATTCTTTTTTTGAGATGGAGTTTCTCTCTGTTGCCCAGGCTGGAGTGCAGTGGCATGATCTCAGCTCACCACAACCTCTGCCTCCCGGGTTCAAGCGATTCTGCTGCCTCAGCCTCCTGAGTAGCTGGGATTACAGGCACACGCCACCACACCCGGCTAATTTTGTATTTTCAGTGGAGACAGGGTTTCACCATGTTGGTGAGGCTGGTCTTGAATTCCTGACCTCAGATGATCTGCCCGCCTCGGCCTCCCAAAGTGCTGGGATTACAGGCGCCAGCCACCGTGCCTGACCCCCAAGCATCATTCTAGTCCCCTCTCTGCTCTTCCCTGTACCAAAGTAAAAATGATGGATTTAGACAGCTTTCTATCAAAAAGTAATTGTGTTTCTTTTAAATAGATCAAATGAAAGCCTATTTTTTTTGAATAGCACAAAATCAGTTTAAATGCTCTCATTTTCAGTGGTGAATTTTAAGAAAAATATTGTCACTGAGTGGTAAGTATTAGAATGTGAGTCGGGACGATAATCACCTTTTGGGAAGCAAATGATGGGTCCCTGCTCTGCTTGTGCAGGTGTCTCAGCTCCGGCATGAGCTGTCCATGAAGGATGAGCTGCTTCAGTTCTACACCAGCGCTGCGGAGGAGAGCGAGCCCGAGTCCGTTTGCTCAACCCCGTAAGTCACCAGAGGGCTGTATTTCTGGAGGCCAGAGCACAGGCTGACCGCTGTTGATGTCCTTGGAGTCACCGAGACAGGGTCACCTTCAGCAGCAATGGAGGTCAGCTGCTCTCAGCCTTCTCTGGACCAAGCATCTCCAAGTGCCTCAGACAGATTGATTTTACTATTTTAGCGGGACATGGATGGACAGGTTTTTAGTTTTCCTTTTCCTGGGTCTTACTGCTTATTTGTCAATTTAGATTGATTTGCCCTGGCACATGAGTGGATAATGGGTTAGGCTCTGCTGTTGGAGGCAATTCAGGGTTCTGGAGCCAGAGGTGCTGTGGCAGGTCCTTGGGACAGAAGGCGTGGTGTCTTCTCTGAGAGTCAGCAGATCCGCATGTTGGGAGCGTGAACTCTAGAGCCCAGTGAGCTGCTTGCAGATCTTGGCTCTGGGACTTACTAGCTGTACGCTGTTGGCTAGGTTACTTAACCTTTGTACTTGTTTTGTCATTTGTAAAATGGAGATAACAGTAGAACTTAGGTCACAGAGTTATAAGCATTAATTGAGTTAAAACATACAGAGTACTTGAATAAGTTGTTGGCACATACAAACGCATTATGAGTATTAAATGAACTCCCAGACATCCTGGAATTGTGTAGGCTTTAAACAGAGTTGCTCCCCTGAATTCTGAGGTGATGTGGCAAGTTGTGGATAAAGGGTTGAGATGTGGGTTCTGAATTGGTGGTGAGCCTATGCACTGGGAGCCCTGTCTTCCTGGGGCTGGGAGAGCGGTCTGGTGGGTCATTGTCCTTCCTGCAAGCCCTTCTTTGTGTCTCTAACGTGGTTTGCCAGGTGGTGGGAGGAAACGCGTCTCCCTAGGTTGTGAGCATACTTTCTCCCCCAGGTTGAAGAGGAATGAGTCGTCCTCCTCAGTCCAGAATTACTTTCATTTGGATTCTCTTCAAAAGAAGCTGAAAGACCTTGAAGAGGAGAATGTTGTACTTCGATCCGAGGTGATTTGCCCTCCCTGCTCCTGCCCCTGCTGGAAGGGAAGTGCCCCCACTCACCTTATCCGGCGAGGACAACCATGGTTAAGTGCCCTCCTCAAAGGTGGCAGTCCGTGAAAAGCTGTACCAGGCGCTGGGCAGACGTGCCTCCTCTGTGCTCTGGGCACTGCCTTTCAGACCAACACATGCCTCCCTGGCTGGGGCAGGCGAACCTGGTGAATGACATGGTGTGTGGACCGGGAAGAGTCGGAGATCCCCTCCTTCGCAGTCATTCCTGCAGTGAGGTCTCCCCCGGTGTTCTCCAGGTCTGACCACAGCACCTGTGGAGAAACCCAGCCTTTTTTTCATGCTGCCACAGATCAGATGCTCAAGGAAGTAGTCCATGGGTGCTCAGAGAGAGCCATTTTCTGTTTTTTTTTTTTTTTGAGATGGAGTCTTGCTGTGTCGCCCAGGCTGGAGTGCAGTGGCATGATCTCGGCTCACTGCAACCTTCACCTCCCGGGTTCAAGCTATTCTCCTGTCTGAGCCTCCTGAGTAGCTGGGACTACAGGTGCCCGCCACCGTGCCTGGGTAATTTTTGTATTTTTAGTAAGAGATGGGATTTCGCTATATTGGTCAGGCTGGTCTTGAACTCCTGACCTCAGGTAATCCACCTGCCTTGGCCTCCCAAAGTGCTGGGGTTACAAGCATGAGCCACTACGCCTGGCAGAGCCATGTTTCTTTTTTTTTTTTTTTTTTTTTTTTTTTGTTGAGACGGAGTCTCACTCTGTCGCCCAGGCTGGAGTGCAGTGGCCGGATCTCGGCTCACTGCAAGCTCCGCCTCCCGGGTTCACGCCATTCTCCTGCCTCAGCCTCCGGAGTAGCTGGGACTACAGGCGCCCGCCACCTCGCCCTGCTAGTTTTTTGTATTTTTTAGTAGAGACGGGGTTTCACCGTGTTAGCCAGGATGGTCTCGATCTCCTGACCTGGTGATCCACCCGTCTCGGCCTCCCAAAGTGCTGGGATTACAGAGAGCCATGTTTCTTAAACAATTAACTCAAAAAGGTTGAGCTGAATCAACTTGGGGACTCATGCTTTTGAGTTTTTTTTTAATTGGCAAGGCATTGTGCCTAGCATTTTGCCCACGTTATTTATTTATTTATTTTGGAGTTCGCAACAGGGCTGAAAGCTGGTTACTTTGATTCTCATTGGAACAGGGGGCTCCAGGCTGCTAGGTGTTTTGATAACCCAAGGTCATTCGAGTGAGTAAATGACAAAGCTAGGATTTGCAAGTCTGTGACTCTAAGCCCCTTGTTTTTCACCTTCACGCACTGCCCCTCTCTGGAAACACCGATGCGTGCAAATTTAGTACTGTTTGTCTTAATTAGTGGTGAGTTTCTGTCCTCTAGCCAAGGTATGGTGTGGTACAGTATGGCCCTGTTTATCAGGCCCCTCAGGTTGGAGCTGTGTGCCCACCTAGGCTGGCCCTGGGTTCCTGAGAGCCCCTTAATAGTGCAGACTGTCAGTCAACTTGAACTTGCCCACACCTTAGTAAGATCTTCATGTCCCATCTGAACAAGATGCTCTTCTGCACATCTTGTTCTCTTAGACCTCACCTCTTCCAGCCCCTTGTTCACTGATGGGTCATGTAAACCCAGATTGACCAACGTGGCTGCCCAGGTTTCCTCTGCCAGCCAGTAGCTGAGCAAGGCAACAGGCCTGTGCTGCCCATTCTGAGTCCAGTGCTACCTCTTCCAGTGCCTGCCTCAGGTAAATGCTCCAGCCCCGGGCACCCAGCAACTCATCCAAAGCCAGCCAAGGGAATCTGATCCCATCTACAGATTCCTGCTACCCCAAATCCATTTTCTGAAGTGTAATGTTTTTATGGGGCCAGGACTGAGGGCTCAGAGACACTTCTGTCTAACTGGGGCTCTTGCTTGCTTGCTTGCTTTCTCTCCCTCTTTTCTCTCTCTCTCTCTCTCTCTCTCTCTCTCTCTCTCTCTCTCTCTCTCCCCCCCCTCCCCCTACCTCCTTCCCCTCTCCTCCCCTGCTCCTTCCTTCCCTCCCTCCCTCCCTCCCTCCCTCCCTTCCTTCCTTCCTTCTTTCCTTCCTTCCTTCCTTCCTTCCTTCCTTCCTTCCTTCTTCCATGGGGGTCTTGCTCTGTCACCCACGCTGGAGTGCAGTGGCATGATCTTGGCTCAAGCAGCCCTCCTACCCCGGCCTCCCAAAGTGCTGGGGTTATAGGTGTGAGCCACTGCACCTGGTCTCAGGGCTTTTTCTTAGGGCCTTCAGATCTCTATCATCCCACCCTTTTCAGCCAGGGCAAGTTGTCCAGAGTCCTGGGATGGCTCTTGTGCCTCTGCATTTTAATGCTTTTGTGTTAGACCTTGTTCTTACTAAGCTTGAACACAAGTTTAACTCCAACTTGGGACCTCATGGTTCAGTGCCTGGCACATAGTAGGTGTTAGGCATTCCTGTGTGGTTATCCTTAGGATGCTTGCTGTGGGCAGGGTAGGGTCCTAGGCACTGTGCAGGTCACAAAGCATCCATATTTATGAGCCAGGACAGCCACAGATAACAGATACAATGATAGGGTGGTGGTGGTTACAGTGTTTTTAACAGACCAAGCTGTAGAGCGCCTGTGCCCATAGCTTTGTGTGGCGCCCTCTAGTGTTGTGCATTTTTCAGGTTTTCAGCTTTGAGAGTGCACATCCATTAAGCTGGGAATTCAGATGGACTTTCTGTATTTGAGGGTATGATGGGTGACAGGTGGGGGAATGCTGAGGGCAGCTTCCCAGACCCCGGTTAGCCCTTGCTGTATGCCTCAGCCCTTGCCTGCACCACCAGGCCAGGTGAGAATGTGGGGCCTCTGACCTGGGTCTTGCCCACAGGCCAGCCAGCTGAAGACAGAGACCATCACCTATGAGGAGAAGGAGCAGCAGCTGGTCAACGACTGCGTGAAGGAGCTGAGTATGTCCCCGCACCGCTGTCTTCTTACTTCCTTGCATCTGCTGTCATGACTAGACAGATTTGCATCAGCCTTGCTAAAGTGCAGTCTCCTGCCAGCCTATGGCTCAGCAGCATTTTTCTTAAAACTAGAGGCCTCCCCAACCTCGCGTGGCACCCCCTCTCTATTATTTAGTGCTAAGTTGTCAGCTATGTATTATCTCAGTTTATCACTGAGGTGGAGATTTAAATTTAATTTTGGCTTTATACTGGAATATTGGATTTTTTTTAATGCCTAAGTTAGGCCCAGCTACAGAAACCTGTGTTGAAAATGTGGAAGAACAGGTTACTACCAGTAATTTGATTTGTGAACATTGAAGCCAGGGTTCTCACCTTTGCAAATAAATATTTCTCTCCTCTTCTTCATTTTAAGTTTGCAAGTTAAGACAAAAGGTCAAAACACTAAGTATTTTGCATTTTAGCAAAATACTAAGTAACGAAACACACCTCATGTTCAAATCTAGTCAAATGAGTTATGGCTCTGAATATGGGTTGAAAACTCCAAGGGAATTGCGCTGTGCAGTCAGTAGTTCCTTTCTAGAACTGGGTGCAGCAGCGGGTTCCTGTTTAGTCACAGGGGTGCTCATGTGTGGAATGTGAGGATCTGGCCAGATGCACTCATGTTTTGTTTGTCACTTTCTCTCTGACCCCCGGAGCCTCCCTGATTTGTTCTGGGGAGATAGCCTCGGTTGGTGGGCTTGGGGCCCTACACTGAGCTCAGGAGTGCTATCTAATGGGATGAGGTTCTTTTCCATAACTGATTGAGCCCTGAAGAAGCTACTTTGCTTCTCCATGTGGGAAAATGGTCACTATGAGTTCCTTCCTGCACCCTCCCCACTCCATGCTGTCTTTTAATAAGGATGGTTTTTCTTGTGCAAACCACAGAGAAACCATTCTCTCTGGGTCTGCATGTGTGGTTGTCTGACTTCCTCTTGTGATTGTTGTTTCTTTGTCAAAGGGGATGCCAATGTCCAGATTGCTAGTATCTCAGAAGAATTGGCCAAGAAGACGGAAGATGCTGCTCGCCAGCAAGAGGAGATCACACACCTGCTATCGCAAATCGTTGATTTGCAGAAAAAGGCGAAAGCTGTAAGGCTTCTCTGTTTATCTGGCTGATATGACAGTGGCCGTGCTGAGATGGGGAAGGGACATTTACTCTGGAAGACAATGCCCCTTAGTTTCATATCTTAGTAGTTTGTGTTACCCCTTTGCAGAAAAAGCTTCATGGACTCAGTGGTACAAAACTGATTACCCTGAATTGGTGACGAGTCTTATTTGTGACCTGTTGTCTCCTAAAATTATATTGAATTCATTAAAAAGATGTTGTAGATACGGACTTTTGCAGTTTAACTTATGGATCATCTAGTCTGGTATTTGTTTTTACACAGTGCACCAGCTATGTGCTGCAGTAGAGCAGTGTCCTCTTCAGATTTAAGAAGAGGCAGCAAAATGGACTTTGCTATGAGTGTGGGGTAAAATGCTTCCAGAGAGCTTTGGAAGTGGGGGGGTGGGGTGGTGGGCTATAGAGAATGAATGGGGATATAGGAAAGACTTTACCTTCAAAATTATATAAAAAACAGAACTTGAGTATAAAATGAGCATATCCTTGTAGAAAGTGATGATGAGTTCATAATGGATTAGGTTAATAAGAGGGAAAAAAATTGGACTTATCTAAGTATCTTAGAAAGTGATCTATCTTTGCCATGCTTTAGTGTGCAGTTGAAAATGAAGAACTCGTCCAGCATCTGGGGGCTGCTAAGGATGCCCAGCGGCAGCTCACGGCCGAGGTGAGCACCTCTAGCACCTCTCCCTCATTCCTTCAGTGCCTCTGATTGCAGCGAAGGTGGATTCACCTTCCCGGACAGCTTTAGTCACGTCTGTTGCAACTACTGTTTTTATTTTGAATTTCATTTCATTTTTATTCTTGGGATAGTAAACTCAGTTGCACCTTGATTCTGTGCCCACTGACACTGTTATTGGTTATGGGCACCTGTGGAGCAGGGCTCTACACCAGCTGAGCCTGGCACGCGCAGGTGCCTGAAAATTGTTCAAAGAAATGAAACAATACAACACAGAGCACTCTGGGAGAGGAATCTCACAGGTGTGGCTTGAAACATGAGTGTGACGATTTTCTTTTTCTTTCTCTCTTTTCCTTTTTTTGAGATGGGGTCTCATGCTGTCACCCAGGCTGGAGTACAGTGGCATCAGTGTGGCTCACCGCAGGCTCAGATGATCCTCCTGAGTATCTGGGACTACAGATGTGGCTACCACGCCCACCTGAGTTTTGTGTTTTTTTCTTGGAAAGATGAGGTTTTGCCATGTTGCCCAGGCTAATCTCAACTTCTGTGCCCAAGCGAACCGCCTGCCTTGCCGTCCCAAAGTGCTGAGATTACAGGTGTAAGCCATCATTCGTAGCCTGATTTTTCTTTTGCGTGAAGTTGGTTTTGTTTCATTTGCCCATTGTTGGTATTTTAGAAGATTTCTGAGTCTGTAAGCTTGCCTCAAGTCAAAGAAAAAGCAAGCCTTTGAAAATTCTGTTATTTGGCCACAGACCCACAGGGCAGCTGGTTCCACATGTGCTGGGAACTCCGTTAGATTGCTGTGTCTTTCTGGCCCTCTGATGGGCAGATGTGTGTACACCTGGGTACTCAGGAGATCCTGACCCTCTGTGTCTTTCCTGCCTGCAGCTGCGTGAGCTGGAGGACAAGTATGCAGAGTGCATGGAGATGCTACATGAGGCGCAGGAGGAGCTGAAGAACCTCCGGAACAAAACCATGCCCAATACCACGTCTCGGCGCTACCACTCGCTGGGCCTCTTTCCCATGGTGAGCTGTGCTTTCTTCCCAGCCAGAGGACACCAGGGGTCCTGGTGATAGGAGGGAGCACAGTGTCTGACATTCTGGCCACTGGAGTTAGGTGTTTACAGTTCGGTTCTCATTTTACAGTTCAGAAATCAAGGACACTTGAGTCTGACTGGTGGTTTCTTAACTACGTAGGACAAATTGGTTCTTTATTTTCTGTTCCTCTAAATCTATTGTCTTTTCTACTCCTGCCATTAAAAGATAAATTTAGTAGGAACTTTCTTTGGTGGGAACCTCAGGTATTTGGAAGATCTGACTCATACAGGTTGAGGATCTCTAATCCAAAATGCTTCACAATCCAAAACTTCCTAAGCATTGACATGGTGCTCAAAGGAAATGGCCATTGGAGCATTTTGGATTTCAGATTTTCAGATTGGTGTGTTCAGCTGGCGTGTATTCTGGAACTGTCCCGAAATCTGAAGCACTACTGGTCCCAGGTATTTTGGATAAGGGATATTCAACCTGTTCCTGATTTTTTTTTTTTTTTTTCTGACCTTATTGGACTGTGCGGCTATTTTGGCCTCACAAAATTCTGGAAGTACATTTCAGAATTTTTAAAATGCCATTACAGTTCTGCTGATTCTTTGTACACTTATTAATCATTCTCTTGGTGACTTTCAGTATCTGTGATCTGAAAAAAAGAATTCTCTCTGTACTTAGGCTGGTAATTTTCTCGCTCTCTCTCACTCACTCTCCTTTGTTTTCTCTCAAAAATGGAGCTAAGGTCTCACTCTGTTATCCAGCCTGGTCTTGAACTCCTGGCCTCAAGTAATCCTCTCACCTCAGTCTCCCGAAATGCTAGGGGTACAGGAGTGAGCCACCGCGCCCAGCCACATTATTCATATTATTTTACTGCAGTCGAATTTTTTAGCCCTGACCTTATTTGCTTCATGTGCTTTGCGGGAACATGATTGAGAAGGGGATTTTCCAAGAGGTTAATCTCCTTGTGGAAGTTGGGCAACCCAGGGCTGAACCCCTTGGCTGATCATTGCGCCGTAAGGAAGCGTTATCGGGGATTGAGCTTCCTCATGTTATCTTCTGTCAGACTGAAGCCCCTGGAAGGTGGGGACCCTGTCTTCTTTGTAACGTTTCCCCCTTCCTCTTTTAATACTCTGTACCTAGCACAGCGCTTGGTATGTTGTAGAATTGTAGACATTTAGTGGACATTATGTTTAGATGGACAGATAGACAGATATACAGATGGCCTAACGAGCAAACTCAAGAACTCCTGTATATTCTGGCTCTATTTCCATGGTGTGATGAAATGCTAAATGCTCTCTGAGGAGAGAAGAGCTTTTGAGAGAAACTCCCCCAAGTGAGATAGGAGTGGATGGCTGCATACATACTTGTGAAATTCTGTCCCTTCTGAAATTGTCCTTTTCCTTGGAGCTCTTTCCCTTCAGCCCCCATTGATGATCCCCAGCAGATACTGTCCCCATCCCCCACTCCTTATTGTCTGGCCCACTTTCCCTAAATCATGATTTCTTTTCTTCTTTGCTCTCATGCATCAAAGTCAGAAAGGCAGGCTAGAACAGCCACCACTCCCTCTCCCCCGCAAGAAGCTTCATTGAAATCTGAGGGAAACAAAAAGACATATAACATAGTCAGCTTTCTAAGACACAGATGGGTGATCCAGTGATTCCAGGAATCTCAGTAAAAGCAGCAAAGAACATTCAGTCCCCCAAATTCCCTGATCTAGTGCTAACCACACTTGGCTCGCACGCTGGCCTGTGTAGCTTTGCAGTCTCCTTGCCTGAGTTCCCTCCCTCCTGGCTTCTCATCTTGGTGCAGTAAGCTCCTGGTGCCATCTTGTTTCCTGGGCACCCAGGATCCACTCCACTGCCTTCCCCACTCTCAAGGACAGACCTGTCTTTAAAAACTAAACTATGGCGTGAGAAAAGTCTAATCGAAATTTGCATTTCAGTTTCTTCTGGAGGGATTCTCAGCTTTCATATTTGCTGAGGTAAAGTTTTTGTTTGCCTTTTTCTGTAGCTCTTGGCACAGCCCAGTTTTTGAAGATGGCTAATTTTAAAGTGTAGTATGCATTAAAGGTATTTAAAGCAGTCTAAAGATTGCACCATGCAAAACACCCAGATCTGCCTCTTTTGCTCCTAGCCATTCTAATTGCTGAATAAAACAGTGAGTAGCAGTTTTTGCATAACTATGTTCCCAGTTCTCTTGCCTTATGGCAGGAGTTCATCTGGGATCCACAGACCAAATTTGAGGGGGCTTGTGAAATTAGTTCCTAATTGTACTCAGTATTTCCTTCCTTTATGAAGGTCACCACATCACAGTGATATTAGCAGTGCTTGTGACTTTGTCATCATTAGAAATCACAGGTATTTTTATGGCACATGTTTGTTTGTTTGTTTTTTTTTTTGAGATGGAGTCTTGCTCTGTCATCCAGGCTGGAATGCAGTGGCATGATCTCGGCTCACTGCAACCTCCCTCTCCTGAGTTCAAGCGATTCTCCTGCCTCAACCTCCTGAGTAGCTGGGACTACAGGCATGTGCCACCACGCCCGGCTAATTTTTTTTTTTTTGTATTTTTAGGAGAGATGGGGTTTCACCATGTTGGCCAGGCTGGTCTTGAACTCCTGACCTCAGGTGATCCACCCATCTCGGCCTCCCAAATTGCTAGGATTACAGGCGTGAGCCACGGCGCCTGGCCCTATGGCACATTTCAGTTGTTACAGATGCCTCACAACACCACAGATGCTGATCTCCACTTCAAAATGACAGCAGTAACCAGTCCTGAACTCATTTCTCTCTCCTCTCTCTCTCTCTCTCTCTCTCTTATGACAGCAATAACCAGTCCTGAACTCATTTCTCTCTCCTCTCTCTCTCTCATTCTCTCTCTCTCTCTCACACACACTCACACACACACGTTGTTACATTGATATGTATCTGCCTTCCTTTATAATCCTCATAATTTTATTTGCCTAAAAAATATTACTCTGAGAAGGGGTCCACAGACTTGCCTGGATTGCCAGAGGGGAGAGGGTCATGGCCAAAAACAAATCACAGAGCCTACATGTGACTTTATCTCAGTATGGCTTTGAAATTACAGTCATCCCTCAGTATCTGAGGGGGATTGGTTCCAGGACCCCCTGCAGATACCAAATCCTCCAGTGCCTAAGTCCCTGATATGAAAGAGCTTAGTGTTTGCTTATAACCTATGCATGCCCTTCCACATACAAAAAAATCATCTCTAGATTACTGGTAATACCTCATGCAATGTAAACACTACATACGTAGTTGTTATACTGTACTGATTTTTAAATTTGTATTTTTTTTGTTTTCTTTCCCCAAATTTTCTATCCAAGATTAGTTAAATCTGAGGAAGTGGAGCCCACAGATACGGAGGGCCAACTGTAGTAATTTGACACTTCATTTTTCTTAAGGTGTATGAAGGTCCTTTCCTCTCTATTTGTAAATTATATGGTGAATAGCAGTATTAAAAAATAAGCTGACTTAAAAGATGTCAGACTCATCTAGGGAAGCCCTTATTAGACATAACGTTTAATGGCAATCTGTGGGTAATAATTACAAAATAAAATGCATATTTGTGAATAAGGATTGAAAAAAGTCTGCTAGCCCTTTATTCATCCAGCTTCGTGCTGACTCCTGTGGAGTCCCCCACTTGGTTCCAGCCTCCAGACTGAAGCATCCCCATCGACCATGAAGCCACTGAGGTGGATGCCCTGGAGTCCCCAGGTGCTATCTACTGGGAAGCCACTGGCCACATGTGGCTCTGCAAATTTAAATCAATTCAATTAAAATATAATTGCAAATTCAGGTCCTCAGTCACAAGCCATATTTCATGTGCTCACTAGCCAGCCCTGGCTGGTGGTTTCCACATGTACATATGTCCCAGCACAAATTCTGTTGTTTAACATGAATTTAGCTTTTCCCTTCAGGTTGTCCTCCATGGATATCCTCCTCTGGTGCTGAACCGGTGCTTTTCTGCACACACCTGGTCCTGTGGGTATCTACCATGTGTAAGGGATTGTGTGTTAGGCTCCACCTCCTACAGTGCTGAGTGATGAGCGATACAGGACAGGGGACATCCATCTGACAGCCTTTATTGTTGAGTCTCAGCTTGAGGCTTGCATTGGTGAAGTGAGAAGCCATCAGTGACGAGGCTTCCCCTGACCCACAAAGCTGGAGAGAGAGATATGTGAGCTGTTGAGAAAAGTGGCAAGGACTTAACTGTATTTGGTGTCTGTTTCAGAAAAAAAAACAAGATTCCTAGTGGAAACAGGAATCTTACATTTCCTGGGCAGGTTGTTTAAAGGTGGGTGGGCCATGGGTAGTTGGCAGCGAGAGGAACTTCCTTTGCAGGAGTTCAGGGAGGATGAGAGCAGAAACCTAGAGATGGCGGTGCGTGTGACTCACGTCTTATATGTAGAGACCCTCTCGCTAGCACAGAACCAGAGTGCCCTTTGGAGGTGGGAAAGGGTTCCCTAAGAGCCAAAGTTGGAGGCCCTTGGTCTGTTCTCAGTGTCAAAATCTTAGACACAGAGGGCGTGTGACAGAACCTGTAGACTAGGGGGACAATAGCTTTGTGTAGCCTGTGTGGGCTCTGGTGCCATATCTCACTGTAAGCTCAGAGGTATTTGGAAATCCACCTGTCTCCATCATTCTGAACACATCACCCCTCCGTCATAAGTTCTGCATCCCACCTTGTAGCCATGGTTGCAGCTCCATGATTTGGCCAAAGGAGCATAGGGTTTGCTTTTAGACACCTAATGGCATGTGAGTCAGCAGCTTTACACTCACTGCCCAATGGCACTGCCACACTCAGAACCTACTTGGGCAACTGCTCAGCCAGGGTCTCTGATAACAGAGAGTGCTGTTCACTTTGTATTGTGGGAAGACTGTGAGCTTCTGATGCCTCGGTTTACTCTCCATGGCCCACCTGGGTGCATACCTCTTTTAGAGACAGAGCATTTGAATTGGTGCTCACTTGACATTTGTCTTTCTGGCTTTTCCCAGGACTCCTTGGCAGCAGAGATTGAGGGAACAATGCGCAAGGAGCTGCAGTTGGAAGAGGCCGAGTCTCCAGACATCACGTATGGCCACAGTTTTTACAGTTCTGAGCTTCCCAGAGACCACCTTGTGACTTGTGGTGTTCAAAACCTGGCAATGTTGAGGCTCTGGGTACCAACAGTGATTGACTGTTGTCCTTCCCAGTCCAGATTAAGGGAAATAATAAATAATAGAACACAACTGACAGCATCCCTCAGCTCCTCTTATTAGCTTTTGTTAGTGTTAATTTTTATTTATTTGGTTTTTAGCGATGGGGTGTCTCACTTTATTGGCCACGCCAGAGTGCAGTGATGTGATCATAGCTCACTGCAGCCTCGAACTCCTGGGCTCAAGTAATCCTGTTGCCTCAGCCTCTTGAGTAGCTGGGGCTACAGGTGCGTGCCACCATTTCTAGCTAATTTTAAAAAATCTTTTGTAGACATGGGGCTTTGCCATGTTGCTTAGGCTGATCTCAAACTCCTGGCTTCAAGTGATCCTCCTGCCTTGGCCTCCCCGGAGCATTGGGATTACAGGCGTGAGCCACTGGCCTGTGAGCCACTGTGCTCCTCTTCTTCTTAGGTTTTATAGACAAATTGTGAACTTCCAGAAAGTCCTAGAAAAGGAGATATATATTTCCCATCTGTCTTAACACAAGCTTCGTCTTGATATAGCTACACGTTTTTATCTTTCATTTCAGTGGAAAACGTTTAAAAAATTTAAAATCAACTTAGTATGAGATTCAGAGGGCTCTTCAAAGATCTTGTGCAAGGCTTCCATCTCCTTCTGAATACACCTAAGGATGTGAGCTTCTCCATCTCTCTTCCTAACTCAACTCTTGTACTTAGCCTGTCCCAAGGTGTTTGTAAGGAACCTGTGAACCAGGTTTCATTGTGTTTTCTCTGTACCCAGACTCCATAGACAGAACTTAAATGAGATCCTGGGAGTGACAAATGTCCAAGAGAGGTTCGGTATATGTGTGACACCCTTTGCAGCCCAGAAGGAAGTGGCCATTGTAAAAACATGCCTACCCTTTTTAAAAGGGAACAAATGAGCATCGAAGTGTGGTTCTGCTCCTGAAATAACACTTTCCAAAAAATAGACAAATCTAGTATTTATCATCTAATTACAGAAGTGTAAGACTAACTTTAAGTCTTGCTTTTTTTATATGAATATTCATTCTACAAGTGTTCGTTGATCTCTGCTATGTGCTAAGCAGTGAACACTGCTCTGCTGCAGCATGTATTCTAGTGAATATTATGAAAAAAGAAAACTAGGAGACAAAAGTCAACTTAAGTATTTTTATTTGTAGGTTAAGCTTTAGGGATGTAAAACACAATTTCACTCTTGCTAGCATCTTTAGCACAACCATGGTTCGAGTTCTGGATTTAGTGGGTGTTGAAGCTCTCAAATTTCGCATTGTGAAGGAGGCAGCCAATACCCTAAGAAACAGGTGGCAGGCACAGGATAGTGGGCTGCCTGGGGACTCGTCACAGACCAGGTGCCCTTTTGGCTCCTCAGTTGGTCATTTTTGGAGGGTTAAACTCCAGGGTCGTGCCCGCATTTGCTCACTCACGGATGCCGTGCATTCTCCCTAGTCACCAGAAGCGTGTCTTTGAGACAGTAAGAAACATCAACCAGGTCGTCAAGCAGAGATCTCTGACCCCTTCTCCTATGAACATTCCTGGCTCCAACCAGTCCTCGGCCATGAACTCCCTCCTGTCCAGCTGTGTCAGCACGCCCCGGTCCAGCTTCTACGGCAGTGACATAGGTAACGTCGTCCTCGACAACAAGACCAACAGCATCATTCTGGAAACAGAGGCAGCCGACCTGGGGTGAGCAAGCTGGGAGTTTTCACTTCTCTGTTTTGGGGTGAGGAGTGGTAGTATGGATTGCCTGCAGGCTTAGTAATTGTTAAGAGGGAGGTAGATGAGAGTCGCCTGAAAAATACAGACCTGGCCAGGTGTGGTGGCTCATGCCTGTAATCCTAGCACTTTGGGAGGCTGAGGCAGGAGGATTGCCTGAGCTCAGGAGTTTGAGACCAGCCTGGGCAACACTGCAAAACCCCATTTCTACTAAACGTACAAAAATTTAGCTGGGCCAGGTGGCGCTCGTCTGTAATCTCAGCTACTCAGGAGACTGAGGCAGGAGAATCACTTGAACCCAGGAGGTGGAGGTTGCAGCAAGCTGATAATCGCACCACTGCACTCCAGCCTGGGTGACAGAGTGAGACTCTGTCTCAAAAAAAAAGAAAAAAAAAAAAGCAGATCTTAACAGTTCTCCAAATCTGTTTTACCTACCCACCAAGCCTACGCCTATCCTTGATATGATATTTTAATCAGTTTAAAGATGTATAATAAGATGATAGCAGAAAGTCTGCTTTCCTGTGAAATGCTTGCGGGGGAGGATTAATGAATATTTTGTTGTTGTTGTTAGTCTTCACGGTAAGGCTACAGAATAGACATTTGTTTTGTGACCCTTTTGTAGTTTGATGTTGGAAAGGCTGAGGACTCAGGCTCTCTGTCTTGTGACCAGAATGTGGTCAGAGGGTAGGCCAAGGTGCCCAGGACTGGGTTTTCCTCAGGAGTGGTCAGTTCCTCCTTGTCCTGAAGCCCTACAGAACCTACACACACACACACACACACACACACACACACACACACACACACACACAATTTTCCACTTTGTGCATCCTTTTCCTCTGACTTAATAAAATTGATTCTTCTGGACCAGTTGGATCAGACAGACAGGAAGCTCCTTGATCAGAGCAGGTTTTGTTCAGAGTTGGGGTCTGGGCTCCTTTCCTTCAAGAGGAGAGAGAAGCATCCCTTAAACCAGTTGCCCTTCTGGTAGCCAGGAACGGTAACCTACAGGTTTCTTCCTAAAGATTCTTGAGGGAGATATTTAGAGGGACTGAATTTACCTAGTCTGTGTGCAAAATATTCATCCCACCTTAGTCCTCACCCCACCTCAACCCCACTAAAAAAGACCCCTGGTGGGAGTAGTTCTGGACACGCATTTGTTTCCCCCTTTTGCCTAAATGTCAACTGCTTGCCTTGGTTCCCATGGAGAATCCTGCAGCCCCAGGGAACGTCCTCCCCTGTGCATTGAGCAGTCGGGCCTCTGTGCCATTGGAGACTGGCTAGCGTTCCACCCTCACACCCCTTTCTTCTTCCAGAAATGATGAGCGGAGTAAGAAGCTGGGGACGCCGGGCACCCCAGGCTCCCATGACCTGGAGACAGCGCTGAGGCGGCTGTCCCTGCGCCGGGAGAACTACCTCTCGGAGAGGAGGTTCTTTGAGGAGGAGCAAGAGAGGAAGCTCCAGGAGCTGGCGGAGAAGGGCGAGCTGCGCAGCGGCTCCCTCACACCCACTGAGAGCATCATGTCCCTGGGCACGCACTCCCGCTTCTCCGAGTTCACCGGCTTCTCCGGCATGTCCTTCAGCAGCCGTTCCTACCTGCCCGAGAAGCTCCAGATCGTGAAGCCGCTGGAAGGTGATCGCGCGGGGCCTCGGCCTCTCTCTGTCCTCCTGGGGGACTCCCTGTGGTCCCTGATCCACCTGCGGAAGGCGGGGCACCTCTGTCACGCCTACTCCTTTTTCTTCCGAGACAGCCATCCGCGCTGCTGGTTTGAGTTCCTCTGAGGGTGGCGCTCAGCCTAGGCCTCCATCCCTCCCCTCTGGCTGGCAGGTGTGACAGTGCACACATAGACCACCAAACTCGCCCAGGAAAGACAAGCATGTGCACTGTGGTCTTCTAGTCATTTCCTTTGCCTTTAGAACCTTAGAAATAAAAACCTTTTGTGGCAGTAGAGGCATTGCTAACAGATTCAAAAATTAATTAGGTTTTGCCTGTGGGTGTGAGGAATACAGAGAATTAACGCTTTAGCTTCTCCAAAGTTTTGGTGTCAGGGAGAGGTTCCAAGCAAACTCTATTAAATGGGGATTTTTTTTTTTTCCATAACCACCTGAATGTGATTTGTGGGCTTATGTGTTTTGATTTGAACTTCGTATAACAAGGTTGTGGCTTTTGGCAGATGCATTATGTTGTGAGCTCAGCTCCTAGAGTCTACAATTTGGAGCCCAGGAAGGGGGGTGGCTGTGGAGACAGTGAGTTTTGTACCTCCTTAAGCCACCCTTTTCCAGGGGCAGTTCATATTTTAGTATCGGGGCACCTCAGATGATTAAACTCATGGAAAAACTTCTTCCTCCCTCCCTCCCTCTCTCGCTCTTTCCCTCCCTCCTCTTTTTTTTTTTTTTTTTTTTTTTTTTAGGCACTTAAAAATGTTTTCCCTCTACATATCACCACCCTGCCAAGAGCCACCAAGTGTTTATATTTTTCATTTTTTACTCCTTTAGTTTTGAAAGCCATATAAGTTTGAGAAGCTATTTTAAAACTATGTTACACTTACGATGCAAAGCCAAATCAGAACTTCTGTAAAGCAGAACCTACCCAACTTTTAAAAGTTATTATCCCTTCTAAGGAGCCTTCTAAGACGTTTTTTCCTAATCACCCCGATGACATTTTAATACCACAGATATATTGTTTATGTACTGTATGTATATCCATATACAGTATACATAAACAATATATGGTATTAAAATAAAAATAATCCGATTATGTTCACCTCAAAAGAACCTGTTTTTGCCCCTCGGGAGCAACATTGCCCCTGTGAGAATGCATGCTATAAGGTAAGGTTGTGCTTGTTAAAGACCCAAGACATGACTGGGTTCCATAGTCTCCAAAGGAAGAGGGCGGGCTAGTTTGTTTTTATTATTATTTTAAAATTGTATAATTGGGGTCCTTCTTAGAGTTCCAAAAAGGTATGGCTTTCTCTTTTTCGATTATTTATTTCGTTGTAAGCTTGGTGATTGTTTTCTGATCTACAGTGTGTCTGTTCTTTCAATAAAATCTTTCATTTCTGCAATTTTACTTTCTGCCTTACTTTTCTTTTTTCTCCTTTGTCACTCAAAAATCATTGGAATTTATCATCTCTGTCTTGTCTGCTTTCTATATTTGACTCTGTGTTTCATTAGATCATTTAAGAATATGTTTTTGAATTTATTTTCAAAGCACACGTTTTAGCCAGTTCATCTTTCTTTCTTTTAATTTTGTGACTTGGCAGTATTTTTGGGATCAGTTAATAGGATAATAGGAAATCCTGTTAGATTAGCAAGGTGAATTTCATCTGTAGTGCTCTGCTACCCAGGGGGCTAAATCAATACCATTAAAAAGTTATTTGTCTTATCACAGTGGCCTGTAACACAACCTCATGATATAGATCCTTTAGGCTCCATTTTGTAGTTCTCTGACTTCTTAGCTGTTTATTTATATATTTAGTTTTTGAGACAGGGTCTCGCTTTGTCACACAGGCTACAGTACAGTGGTGTGATCACAGCTCACTACAAGCTTGAATTCCTGGGCTCAAGCAATCCTCCCGCCTCAGCTTCCCAAGTAGCTAGGACTACAGGAGTGCACCACCACACCTGGCTAATTTATTTATTTGTAGAGACAGGGTCTTACTATGTTGCCCAGGCTGGTCTGGAACCTCTGCCCTCAAGTTACCCTTCCACCTCAGCCTCCCAAAGTGCTAAGATTATAGGCGTGATTCACCACACCTGGCTCAGACTTCTTAGCTGTTACAACCAATATTTTCTTTTTTCCCCTCTACAGTTATTTTTTTATGTTACCATGTTTAATATGATAAGATGGGATGCTGACACAGAAGTCAGCCTGGGCCAGGTTCAATACAGCTCTGACTGTGACATTAGATAAATCACCCCACTTTTTGAGCCCTGTTTCCTATTTAGTTGTGGTTATGACATAGGCTGATAGCTATCAAACCAGATTCCAGTGAGTGAGGAGTAAATGAGAAGCATTTTATATTGTACCTGGCATCTAATAGGTGTTTATTAAAATGTTGGCTTCCCAAGCTTGCTCCAGTCCAGGTCTGTTACTAGGGCTAAGTTACTAGTGTTGAGATCTGGACCAGCACTAGGGTCATGTTCTTAAATTATCTTTTTCTGTTGGCCCACTGAGAAGCTAGTAAGACTCCCATGATCGCCATCGGCCCGGGTAAATGGACCTGGGAGGAGGTCCCAAGAGACTGTTGGCTGAGATCACAGCAGATAGCCAATCAGTGTCTTCCATCTGGCTCCCTTACCTGTTAATTAATCTTGCCATCTGCTTATTGTGAAAGCCAAAAGAGCTAAGTGTTTAAGAATGCTAGCAATCTCTTGTCTCTTCATCCTACCTTACCAGTTTTAAGCAGGTGAACAACAAACAAAACATTCAAACTAGAAAGATATCCGCCTTAAAAAGACCAAGGCAGGCAGTATCTTTTTCCTGTAATTTGCACTTCCTTTCTGCTTAATCATAACCAAGGTAGCCTTTCCAAATAAATAATATGTAAATAAGGGAAAGGATACATTTCGAAGCTGTGCATTATCCAGCAGGTTTCGTTCTAGTGTCTAAACCCTGATGCTCCTCTGACATCAGTGGATTTTGGAGTTTCCACTCCTTTGATGACTTGAAAATGTTTTAGCTGGAACACTGGGGTATAGAAGGAAAGCAGAGGGGGAAAGACACCATGACCGTAGTTAAGTTTTCACCACTGTCCATGCCCTTTTCCCATAGAACTTTATCTTGGGGCCAACCAGGAACATGAAGCTTCCTCTCTTTCCTTGCCCTGTTTGCCCAACTCCTGCCTGGTTTTAATGTGGGTGAGAGGAGTGAGCAGGTCTTGAGTTGGTCATGGAAGGTAGCTCATATTACAGTGTTTGGCAAGTAAAGAAGCCAGGCTGGGGAATGAGCTGGAGAAAGGGAAAGAAAGAGGCAACTTGGGCTCTGAATAAGATGCAATTCATATTTATTTTTTAATTCGTATACCTTCTTGTGTCAAAGGAAGGACTCCAGGCAGCCAGGAGATTGGTAGAATTCCCACATGGTGGTTTAGGCAGCAGCAGGGAGGTGAGGCATGAGGTGTTCTGCCCAGTTGACGGGCTTGGCAAACCCCACTGGGACCTTGGAACCAGCCAGGAGTGGAGAAAGTCCATGAGCCCCACAGCATGACATAACTGAAATAGCACAGTCAGGTTTGAGAAAGCACCTGCATGGGAGTCTAGAAAGCCATTCAGGTGTGTTATTGACTAGGTTTCGGAGACTCTCATGTGTGAGGCCTCTCACTGCTGAGGGTTAAGAGAATGGACACTGGAGCCAGCCTTGGTTTCAGTCACAGATCAGTCAAGGCACTTGCCAGCTATGCAGCCTCTAGCAAGTTACTTTCCCTTCCTGTACTCAAGTTTCCTCATCTGCAGAATGCAGACAGCAGGGATAACGTGAAGATTAAGTGAATTATAAATGTAGACCTCAGAAAAGTGCCTGGTGCTGAGTAAAAGGCCAGTAAAAGTTGGCTGTTCTTACATGAGTAAAGGATGCGCAAGGCATGGGATAAAAATCTGAGCATGATGCATCTTTCCACATCATGTTTTAGTTGTAATTTCACTAAATTTCCTTGGCTGTGGAGTGTCAGAGAATGCAAGTAACCCCGTGCATTTCTGCGACCTCCTTAACTCCAAACAGCAGACCCTTTGTAGCCTCATTTCTCTGTCTTCAGCTCATCCTTGGGAGCAGGTGAGGAGAGGGAGTGATGGGGCAGCCGGTTGAACAGTTGGAGGGGACAGGCCTGTGAGACTCTTGTCAGGGCCCAGACCTCCAGCCTCCCTGGGTTCTTTCCCAGTGAATTGTAAACATCTCAGACCCCCGTCAGAAGGATGACGAGGTTTGGCATTTCCTTACCAGAGTTCTTCACTTCCCAGAGTCTACCAGGAAGTATATCCTCCTTTTCCCTTCCAGAAGTAGAGGTGACGTGGCCATGTTGTACCTGGGGTTTTCTCATCCTTCTCAGACTCCGGTGTACAGTCCCGAGCTGAACGTGACAGTACAGTGGCTTCTTTAAGACTTCTCGTGGTGCTGTTTTGTTATCGGGAATGTGCCTGCACGGCCAGCGAGCATTTATACCAGGGCCCTTTAGGTAGTGTGAATGCGAGTCCCCAGGGACAGCAGAGAACTCCCATCAGCAGGAATGTCTTCCGGCAGGCCCTGCACAGCCATCTGGAAATTCTGCTGCTGACCATTTGTGCAGCTGGGACACCGATGTCCTTCTCGTTCTCAGACCTGTGGGTTTTGATGGGTGGGCAGTGTGAAAACTTGGTCTATAGTTCGGAACCCCAGCTATGCCACCACTAATTAAGTGGCTTTGGAAAGTTATCTAACTTCAGGCAGCCACCATTCCCCTATCTGTAAAGTGTTTAATCATACTTAGTTCCTAGGATGGTTTTGAAGAGTGAGTTGGTATAATACATGCAGGCCTGCCTCAATATAGGGAAGCTTAATTTAAAAGAAATCACAGCGATGCTGTGGCGTCTGGGACTCGGGAGCCCATGAACTGGTGTCCGCAGGTCTGCGAAGCCCTGGCCTTGTTTGCACGGTGTTGCTAGCATGCGCCCTTCCTTTAGGAAGTGGATCCACAGCTTCCTTCAGATTCTCAAAACATCCGAGAGTTAAGAACCACAGCTCCAGGGCAAGGTTTCTCAACCCCAGCCCTGTTGACATTTGGGACCAGTTCGTCCTTTGTTGTGGGGGCTGTCCTGTACATTGTGGGATGTTTCGCAGCATCTCTGGCTTTTACCCCCTAGATGCCATGAGCACTAGATGCCGTTCCTCCACAGTTGTGACAACCAAATGTGTCTCCAGACATTACCAAATGTCCCTGGGTGGGGCGGGGGGAGCGTGTGGGGCGCAAAATCGCCCCTAGTTGAGAACACCGCTCTGGATGCATCTTAGTACCTAGTGAGGGAACAGATATGTGATATCTTCTTTCATTATATGTCATTCTTTCCTATTTCTTTTTTTCTTGAATTTAGAATATTTTTTATTTACATTTAATAGATCCAGATTAAGTAGGTTGCTGTTGTACCTGTGAACTCTTAAAACTGGGATAAACCTTCATGTGGGTGTCTAGGAACTCGTTAAACATGTATTGGCAGTGTGCACCTTTTTTTTCCTTTTAAGCGGATTTGAAATTGCTCATTTATAAATCCCTTTCAAGCCTCCCTGGCTAAGATTGACCCATGAGAAGTTATTTCCAAGGGGTGTTTGGAAATGGCAGACTCTCTGTGCACACCACGGGGCCTCTCCCTCACCCCACCGCCTCCCGCCTTGGCCTGCCTGCGTTCCCTTGTCTTTTGTCTTGACTTCCTGAGCTGCTGGCTCCTGGCATCCTTGACTCCCTTTCCTTCGCTCCCCAGGGCAGCCTGGTATCCTGGAGGGCTTCTTGCCTATCCAGGAAGTATACCCTTGGTAAACCAGTGGTGACTGCCCGAGCATCCATTTGTGCAGGAAGGTGCCTGCCTTCCAGTGCCCAAGAACCTCTTCAGAAGTCTCTCCTTTGAGCATGGAATATTTATTTGTGTGACCATGCACATTTGAGTGCCTTCTGCATCTGTAGAATGGGGCTAGCCCTGCAAGCCTCACGGGCCATGCACTATCATGGTGTCATGTGAGGCATTATTAAGTGTTCCAAGGTAAAAAGGGTTGCTCTGTCAAGTAAGTTGGGCAAAAACACTGTAACACACTGAAGGTTCTGTGATGCCCTCAGTAAAAACACTTCAGTTTCCTGAGTGTGCTTGGCCTAGGAACACTTCTCTTTGTAGAGCACCTGTGACACCTTGAAGTCTTCAGGGACACACTCCGGTGTTATTACAGACCTTGCCTGATGTCATCTGAGTCCTGGGGTTTGGTGTCATCGAGAAGATGGGCTCCCCGGCTTTAGACCTCCATGTGGACTTACTGTGTTCTTAAATCACACCTCTTTAACCCTATTCCTTCTCCCTAACCCGGCAGCCTCTCAGAGTTGCTGGCAAAATACCGAAAACCTAAGTAAAGGAGGTGATGGTCACATCTACCACATATCTCTGTGTGCTGCTTTCATTTCTTTTTGCTTTCCTCTTGCTGAGGGTCCTGGGCTTGGCTTGGCATGGTCTTAATCTGCCTGAGCTTATGTCTTCTCTGTTCCCAGGAGTGTGTATTTGGCATAGAATCAGTACATGTGGCCCCTGTTTTGTGCTTATCTTGCCATTTTCCCCCTTCCATTTTGTAAAATGAGAAGGTGTTGAGTTCTGGGGCGGACATCGGTTGATTAAAACAAGACCTCGCCACCAAACCTCTTTTGCACATACTATGGTGTGGATTTTACTTAAAAAAACAAAAAATTGTTGATTTCTTAACTTGGTACCCCTTCTGATCATGGTAGGGTTTGGCTACTGTTTCATGGCAGGAAGGGCTAAGGCAGCTCCACTGAAGTTCCCACTGCAGTCCACCTGGAGGCCCAGACCCTGCTGGGGTTCACACTAAGCACTTTGAGGGTGGTAAACAACCATTGTCTTAGACTTCCATCCTAACCCTCTCTTCTCCTTGTCCCCCTTCTTCCATTCCCTTTCTCCTGCAAGGTTCTGCCACCCTTCACCACTGGCAGCAGTTGGCCCAGCCTCACCTTGGGGGCATCCTGGACCCCCGGCCTGGTGTGGTCACCAAGGGCTTCCGGACACTGGATGTTGACCTGGACGAAGTGTACTGCCTTAACGACTTTGAAGAAGATGACACAGGTGACCACATTTCTCTCCCGCGCCTAGCTACCTCCACGCCAGTTCAGCACCCAGAGACCTCAGGTGAGAGGTCCCGAGCCCGTGTGACTGTCTCAGGCAGCAGAAGTTACCCGAGCCGGCCTCAGGCTTCCCCAGAGGAGATGCAGGAGCCAGCGGCCACGGAGGAGGAGGAGGAGGAGGAGGAGGGGTCTGGTGAGGGCACCACGATAAGTCCTGTAAACTTGGCACCTTTCCCGGAGGCAGAGTTTTGGGCCATTCTCACCTCTGTTCCGGGCACCATCCGTAGTGGCTCTCTGTCTGTAGCTTCCGCTCGTCTGTGTGGGTGATGATTAAAGCATTCTCATTGCACAGTTCTGTTTTTAAATACAGAGTCCGATGACTCCTATTTGTAAAATGGGTGTGGCTCCCCTGCCCATCTTGGAGGTGCATGGCCCAGCAGGGATCGTAAAGTGGGAGCAGGAAAGGCTGCTAAAAAAAAAAAAAAAAAAAAAAAGGTGGGCTTTGGGGCCCCTGAAAAACATCAGTGCCCTTCTTCCTGGTCTGGGTGTCTCCCTGAGTCTAAGGGGAAGATTCTCAAGTCCCCTGGTGATTTCCAAGTGGAGCTGAGCAGTTTTAGGGAAATTGAGTGCTGGGTCATTCAGAAGGCAAATGAGATCATCTGTTACCTGTATGCTGTGTTAAAATAGAAAGAACCAGGAAAGGTTCAGGATTTCAGACACTTCATCAGCCTTTTCACTTTCCCAGCTTCAATGGAGGTATATATGTCATCTTCTTTTCAGCTTACACATGTGTTCAAAGTGGATTTTTATAAAGTGTTCTAGCAATACTCCTTAACCAAATAAACCTTTGGAGAATGTCACTGAGCTTTTCCAGAGAGAAGACCCTAGATGAAGCTGGAAAAGAGCTCTGGCTGACTCCACCCTCTGCACCCAAGCATTAAAGGTGTGGCCATGAGTTTACAGAATTACTCACATCCCAGTTGCCACTGGGATGAAAAGCTTTGTGCTCAGAGCCCTGGGAATCATGGGATCACATGGTTACTGTTTATCCCAACAGCATGCTCTGCCTAGACTGGACTTCCCAGCCCCTTGTGTTGGGAAGACAAAGCTTTTGTGGAGTCAGGGGAGAGACTGAGAAAAAAATGAATTAACCCTGTGTTGTCATCCTCGTGACATTCCCAAGGATTCACCAGGTTTGAAGCAAGGACATTCATCTTTGTGATTCGTAATTTTCATTTTCGAAGGCCACAACACTCCCCTTGAAATACAGGGCAGGAAAGAGCTGAGGTTCTCCCATTCCTCTGGCGAATTTCAAACAGCTGTGGTCAAGCGATTTTATTTGGGATCAACTTTTCCTTTTTTCCTTGACGTTAATTTTAGAGAAGTCATCAAGTCGTGTGATTTGTTTAGTACCTAGGTTTGTTTATGGTTTGGTTTTTTTTAAAGCAGTTAAATTACTAGATTAAGCTTGTGAGGGAATGAAAATGTTTTTTTATTTCATATCTACACACTTGAAAAAGGGAAACCAGCTGCGGTACTGTCCCAGTTTTGTCATCAGCACCCGTGGCCATCAGGGAGGCAGGTGATGGTGCAGGAACATGACGCCTGGCTGGTTTTTGTGGCTGCAGGGGTAGGCCCCATGCCGATTGCCGATTGGGATACTCCCCTACAACCTTACAGGTAGAATAGAAGGTGAGTTCTGGAAGTGCAAAGAAGCACCTTTAGGTGTACCTTCTAGAAGTTGTACGGAAGGACTAAAGCTTACCAAGTCAACAAAGAACTTATCTTGGAGGACAGAGAGAGAGAAGGGACCAATAATGAGGACTGGGGACATCCTGGCCACTGTCCTTAACGTAAACACTGACATTTTTCATGCTTGTTCCCTCTGTACTCAAACCTGTAGCAAATTCATCCTAGAAACACTATTTGAGGAGGGGCATGAACATTTATAGCTGAAACTGTAGAAAGGGTCAGGTTGGAGGTGTGTAATAAAAAATAATTACCTGGGTTGCCAAAGGTAATTTAGGAAGGGTCTGATCATTTAGATGAGAATTCTTTGGGGCTTATTTTCTGGGTAAGGTTCATCTTTAAAAACTGGCTTCAGAGGGGAGAGGGGTGAACAATGAATTGGCTCTATTTTCTCTATTGGGAATTACAGGACCATTTTGATTCTCAGAATTTAAAAAGCGTATGATCATCCTGGAGGTCCCAGTTAGCTCTATGCCTGCCATCATGGAGACACAGGCAGACAGATAAGCTTTATGGGGAAGGCTTGGGGCATCCTTTGTCTTGGGATGTGTATCCATGGTGTCTCGTCCCTGCCTTTTAATCCGTCCTGTATGCTTGGGCTTTTCTGTTGCCAAACAGCACTATCCCAGGAGCTGCTGTCTGCCTGGGGAAACTCAGTAGGGAGGCACTTTGGAGACAGAAGGTGATGAACCTTTTTATGTGCAGCTGGTGTGATAGAAGGAAACTGGGAAGACTTGTACGCTAGGCAGTTTTGTCCAGAGTCTGCTGTCCCATGGAGAAAAACTTTTAAGCACTGAAAACATTTGATTAATGTATTTAAATGTATTATTTGAAGCATCATTCACTTGTTGATTTTTATAATCCCATGTCTTAAAAAGGATGATTCCATGTTACTGTATTGTAAATAATTTAGATGATTAAAATGGATTGTTTAAAAAGTTTTAGATTATAGTTTTACTTTATTTCAGTGATATGTTTTATGTTTTAATTTATATAGAAAGTATACCTTATCAGAACTAGTCATCATCTTGTTCTGTCAGTACTCTGTATTTTAGGTATTTGTGTGGGGAAGAGCCTGCATGTGGCAAAGGCCTAAGAGTTAAAGTCACACAGTTAAATCGGTAGTTGGCTAGTGGATGAGCAGTTCAGTTGAATTATCTTGAATGCCTTGATCCTTAAAGGTGAGAAAGAAGTGGGATTAAAGCCACATGGATAGAGAAAATTGACGGTCAGTTTAATGCTTTTATGCATCAAGACTGATTCATATTGAGGGGAGGTATCCTCAAAAACTTACACGAATCATGGCATCTTGACATCTTACCTGGCAGTGACCTGGCATTAGAACCTTGTCCTAATTGGAGCTGAGATTTTTTTTTTTTTTTTTTTTTTGAGACGGAGTCTCACTCTGTTGCCTAGGCTGGAGTGCAGTGGCATAGTCTCAGCTCACTGCAACCTCCACCTCCCAGGTTCAAGTGATTTTCCTGCCTCAGCCTCCCAAGTAGCTGGGACTATAGGCACACGTCACCAGGCCCAGCTAATTTTTGTATTTTTGTAGAGACGGGCTTTCACCCTGTTAACCAGGCTGGTCTCAGACTCCTGGCTTCAAGTGATCTGCCCGCCTTGGCCTCCCAAAGTGCTGGGATTACTGGTGTGAGCCACCACACCTGACCTGGAGCTGAGATCTTAAAGTCAGAGTGGAAGACAAAAAGCACAGTTGGCTAAAATTGCCCTTGAAAAATTCCCTAAATCTTCAGCAACTGGGCCACCAAGGCAAAAGCCAAGAATCAGCTGCTTTTGTTGCCTCCTTGTTTGATACCTAGGCCCAAGGTCAGGAGCAGTGACTGGGTGAAAGGGCCGAGAAGGGCTTGTGGTAGGAAGGAGCCAGGCGGAGTCAGGCCAGCAGGGTGTTCCTGCAGCTTTGCCCAGGCGAGGCAGCTAGAGCAAAGCTGAGCCAGCTCGTATCCTGTCCCCACTTCAGTCCACCACAGACCACAGAAGTGGGGTTCAGACAGGCTTGTGAGAAGTTGGTTTGGGGGCTTGATGGGTCTGGAAAGAAAAGTCTGGTATGCTCGATTCACAGACCCTTGGGTACAGAGAAGTTCCTTCCCGTTGTCTACATTGAGAGAGTTCATGTGAGTTCCCACGCTGTTGGGAACACTTTTCGATTCAGCCTGGTTCGGTGGCAGTTGTGAGGGAGTTTGGTTGTTATGGACAGAGTGGATGGTTGGCTCACACCCACCTGTATTAGGAGATGCTAAGGAAAGCCGTGTGCTCTTCCATCAGAATATATATTAAGCCAGAGTAAAACAGGCCAACTGCCACCTGCAAGTGGAAAAATGAATGAAGAATGAAAGAATTGATTCCTTCAAAACAAACAGCATAGAGTCAGCTCTGCTTAAAATATCCAGAACAAAGCCCACTTGTTGAGCATTTTCTCTCTGGTGTCCTCACCTCTGAACACTACAGAGGGCCCCCTGGTGCTCCTGGAGGCACGTGGGTTGCTGAGGAGTAGGTGTCTGAACCTGACACCCTTCTAATGTGGAGGGCTCTTGAGGGAGCACCCGGTGTTGAGGGGAGGAGCTGTGCAACCGCACTGCCTAGTGAAGCACAGGTGAAGTGCTCTCTTGTGCTGGCCTTGAACGCACCAGCAGGGAAAGGTCTTGATGCAGCTCAGCCAGGCCAGCTCCCTTCACCTGTTGGTGTCTGCCACAGAAGGAAGGACAAGAGGACAAAAGGGCATGGGGTCCAGCTTTGTTGGTGTCTGAAGACTACAAAGGGATTTCTGCATTTGCCCTTTTGACATTTTAACAGCATTCTAAAAATCCCCCTTTCTCTGGAAGATACCCCAGGGGCACTTGAGAGAATTTGTGACCCTCTGCACAGTGCTGTGAAATTGTTTATCTCTTAAATCACATACTTTTTAGGTGAAACAGGGTAGGCAACTTGGCGTAGTGGGAAGAAGAGTCGACTTTTAATTTTGCAGAAACCAAAAATAAGTTGTGCAGAAACCAGAAAAAGATCTTGTGATTTGTGATTCGAAATCTCTGTGATAGAAACCTCCCAGCTTCCTGCTGGCCAGATGTCTGATCACCGAGGAGCTCAGGGATCTCTACGGAGCTACAGGAGCAGTCGAGGGCTCTGTTGAAGAAATGCTTAAGCAGAGAAAAAATAAATACCAAGCCTCTGTGAAGCCCAGAACTAAGGCCTTTAAAAGTGTCATCTTGTACCACATGTTACAGTTTAAAATCACTTTTGTATTTTTTAAAACAAGCTGCACTGCTGCATCTGAAACGGCTCTTAATTCCCCCACTCCCCACCTCCAGAGAAAACACTTGTTAAAGCCACACGAATCCCTAGAATAGTGCTTATATTAATGATGACTTGTAGGGCAAACTCTGCAGCTTTTCCCACGTGAACTCATCATAGAACTTTTTTCCCCTGAAAATATCATGGGCAGAGTTACATAATGAAGAGACAGGAAAGTCTTTAGAGCACCTTCCATGCCCTGATATTTTAGTCTTTAGGAAGAGATAAAGCATTGCTTCTTCCCTATCTGTTTAATGGAAAGGGAACTATTTCTCATACAGGTGACAGTAAAGACACGTCTTCCTCTCCCCTTTCCACCCCTCAAGCAAAAGGCAACAAAGTCATTGGAAGCTGGGCATTAAACAACTAAAATATACTGATATTCCTAGGGGATAGCTCAAGACATACCCTTAATCTGGATGGACAATGGCTTTTATTTCAATAGATTTGTTTTTACTTGGATAGAACAGGCTGGCCTGTGGGTGCCACTGTTGGGGTGTGTGTGTGTGTATTGGTTGAGGAGTTTATAGAACTTGAAAAGCAGATCCAAGTCATGTGACAGCAGCATCCCACTACACGCTCAAGTTAAGAAAAGGAAAGAAAGGTCAGGGCATAGGGTTTATTTTATACAAGTTGGCCACTTCCCAAGAGTGACGAAAAGAACATGGAAGGCCCTCAGTGCATCGCAAAGGTGGAGTCCCTTTTCCAAGATTTTGAGATGCTTTTGTAAATTTACATTTATAGAAGTTATTTATGTGAGTTTTTAAAAATAGCTTGGGTATGCGGCATGCGTTCTCAGAGGCTTCCTCAGAAGTAGCTGTGTCTGGGTGTGTATTGCACCCTGAATTTCCCCATAGCAACATACCAAGTATGGTTGCATTTTCCAGTGTCTCTGTGTGGGCTCATGCGAGGGTTCTTTTAAGGACTAAGTTTTATGGCAGCCTTTAGAGAGAAGAAAGCTGCTGTTGTCCCCAGCACTTCCCAGGGATGGGGGAAGGAGAGTGCCATTAGAAGGGAAGGAAATGCATGAGCAGGTATGTACTAATTGTATTATGGGTGGCCAGACGGGCAGAATTCCAATCATCCTGCAAATCCCTGTGGAACCTCTGGGCCCCACCGGAGTATCCCAGCCTCTTCTGTGCTCCCTTCTCACCATGAAAGCACTGGGCCATGGGAAGCAGTGGGCTTCCTACCTATCTTCCCTGGGAGGCCTGAGCAGTCCACAGAGCAGCAGCCACCCTGCTCTATATAGTGCAGTCTGAGGGGAATCCAGGGAGTGGGGGCCGTGTCAGGGCTCCCCCGTCACCGGCTGCAGCAGAAGGATCCCAGCCACCCAGTTTTGCAGTCAGTCCCAGGCATCATGGGCTCCTGAGAGCATGGGCAGTCAGTGCCACTGATCAAGTATACCTGTTCCAGGCAGAAGGCTCACCAGAGTCCAACCAGAGAGAGCAGGTGAGCTCTCACTCTGTATACAGAGTGAAAGTAAGAGTGGCTCTCACTCTCGCAGAGACCTCTGATGTGTCCACCTGTAGCTAGCTGAAGGATGTGTGCTTGCATGTGGTATGTTTTCAGAACAAAACATCTGCACGACAGCCACGGGCAGTTCATCAACATAGGAGATCTTGAATAATAATCAAGGATTAATTAAGTTTAAAGCATATGTCACATTTTGTGCCAGTGTCAGAATCTGGGGGAAGAAGAACAATTTAAAAAGAATTAGGGTTTTTATTGGTAAATCCAAATTCATTCCTAAATCAAATGATGAAAATATTTGTTGTTGTTAATACTCTAACCCGTCTCTTCACAACACTAGGAAGCCCTCCACTCAGGTTGAGAGAAAGAATAAGAATTTAAATAGGGAGTTAAAACTTTAAATCGAAGAAACTCTATCCTTTGAGCTCCCAAATGAGCAGCATGGGATGAACACATAATACCATCTTCTGCAGAGAACTTTCCATTTAGATAAAGAAGGGGGCTTTGATGTGTGGCATGGGCTTGGTGACCTCACAGTGAGCCCTCACCCCAACCCCCCATTTCCTGCCAAGAAGGATGTTTTATGTTTTCTTTCTTCCTTTTTTTTTTTTTTTTTTTTTTTAAGAACTTGCTCTCTTCCTGCACCCAGGGCTTTAGGAATCAGCCCGTTGCTTCTCTGTAGCAAGCATGAGGAGCCTCTGATGATCCCAGTCTTGGGTGACTTACTGTCTCTCTGTTGTGTCTCAAGGAAGGGAGGTGCAGCAGCGGCCTGGCAGTCAGTGGTGACATGCGGAGAGCCCACGGGTCCAGGCGTCCTGGTGGTATTTTGGAGGGGCCGAGTCTCTGGCTTTAGCACTTTGGAAACTTGTTGATCTTCCTTGGTCTTCTATGGCTATTCATTGCTTCTGGGGAATGGTGACTTGCGAATTTTTAGCAGCCTTTTCCTATCCCCAAAACCCATTTGTATAAGATGGGTTTGCTTCTGCTGATGCAACTATGTCTCTAAAATGTCCATCTCACACTCCCTATTGCAATTGAAGATCCAATATGTAAGAGGGTGGAGGACGAAGTGAACATTTGTGACCTTTTGATTTGATATTCTGGCCATGTGTTTAAATGGGGGTATGCTTCTAATTTTAAATCTAGCCTTCCCTTGTTTGATTTCTTTTAAATGTTATCTCTCTTTCAACTGTGTTGTCTTATTTCCCCCTCTCCTCCTTCCCAAATAACCCCTCATGGCTGTTATTTGGGGTACGCTTCCCAGGCTTTCTGTTATTTTTGTTTCTAGACCTTATTGCAGTAAGAGAGTCGTGATTGTTTGGTTGCCTTCTCTTCATAGCTTACTCCATTTTTGTTTTGCTTGTGGCAGTTTCTTACTTATTGGAGTTCCTGAGCCATTGTGTTCACTGATTAAGAAAGATTCATAAAGGCTATTTTTATGTGTTTTTTTTCCTTCCCTCCTGCTTTGCTTGGAGCTCCCCGTGGCTGAGAGTTTTCTCCTGTGGCCGTGGTGCTGGCTGTCATGCCAGGTGCCGTGGGAGCCTGCTTTGACACACAGACCCGAGTCAGACCTTAAAAATCAGGGCAAACCGTCTTGCCTTGTTCCTCTAATCACCGTCACTTTTGTACTCTGGATTTGTCCTGCCTGCCTTTAATTTGTGTCTCCAGCATTTTTTTTGGTTTGTTTCATCGGGTTCCTGGTTTTCTTTTAAGACATAGTCAACTGTGTGGACCTGTAGGTTTGGGGCAGCAACCAATTCCATTGTTTTCCTTTTTGTCAAATCCAAGAGAAAATATACCATTAGGAGCTAGAAGATTCTAGTTCACAGCCTTTTGAATCTTCGTGGCCTTTGAATCCTCACGGCCTCTGATATCTGAATCAGTTTTCTCCCAGGAGGTCTCTGGGGGCTGAGCTGCTACAGGGGCAGAGGGTGGGGTGGGCTTGGGTGGGAGAATCATCCCGGCACTTCATCGTGCATGCTATTTGGGGCAGTATCTTTTTTCTTTTTTTTTTTTTCCTTTTTTTTTTCTCCCCCTGATGCTCGAGTTATGAATGAGGATGACCTCTGCAATCATGATGTCTCCCATAGACTCTGTTGCTTGTTCCTTTGCCAGCTTTCTCATGCATGGTCCTAACACTTCCATGATTTACTTTGCTCCAGACCCATAGTCTTCAGCCGCCTCAGCAATAACTTGTTTGAGCACTAAAAGGAAGTAAATTGGGAACAACTTGTTGCCATCTCATTTTCATTAGAAATCAGACATCTTAGAGATGTCAAGAAAGCAGCTGGCACCTAGAGGGTGAAGGGACCTGTGCTCTCACACTGCGGTGTGTCAGACCAGACCTGATCCTGGAGCTTAAGACCCTGGAGAGCCCTGATCTCTGTAACTCTTCCCACGTTGTTGCTGAGGCAGCTGAAGTCCATCTCCCACCGTAACAATCACAAATAGACAGTAGTGGAGCCAGCATCCCCAAGCCCCTTTTTGTGTAAGCAGAAAGGGAGCTATGAGCCTTGCCCTGTTTCCAGGTACCAAGTGCCTCTCCCTGCGTGTACCTCTGCCCTTCCTCTGAGCAGAGCTTTGGTACCTGTTGCCAATGCAAAGAAATGTAAAGCAGCAAAAGAAGATAGCAGGTTCTGACCTGAGGAGGGAAACCAAATTTATCCCACAAAGGCCCATTACCCCGCCCCCCTCGCCTCCCACCCCCAGACTGGATCCACTACTGGCCCAAGAATACTGATGAGAAACCTTGTCTGGATTGGGTCGGAAGCTGGAATTCAGTGCTCTGCAGACCAGTGCTCAAAATTGTGGTTATTTTTGAGGACTCGCCTTCAATCCAGAACATTTGCGTTTCACCTTCCTCGCCCAGATCCAGTTAACAAGGTAGCTCATCACTTCTTGCATCTGTTGAGTGACATGCTGGATTTTAATTTTTATTGTGGTTGTACTTGGATGCAAGGAATATGTTTTGTTCCTCCCAATTTAGCGCACCATCCTGGGAAGTGCATGTCTCAGACCAACTCCACCTTCACCTTCACCACCTGTCGCATTCTGCATCCTTCAGATGAGCTCACTCGGGTCACACCAAGGTAAGGGACCCTGGCTCTGGGATGGGCAGGGGTGCGGTGAGGTTGGGGCACTCCCTTCCCTGCAAGGCTTAATATTGAGGAAAGCCAAGTAGAGAGGCTCATAGAAAAACCAACTCAAGCCAATTTAAACATCTCAGCATTTGCAGGCACTTGTTCTGGGTCCCATCTTTTCTTTTGTTGTTGTTTTGTGTGTGTGTGTGTGTGTGTGTGTGTGGTTCTTTTTTTTTTTTTTTTTTCCTTGCAGCAGAGTTTTGCTCTGTTGCCCAGGCTGGAGTGCTGTGGCATGATCTTGGCTCACTGCAACCTCCACCTCCTGGGTTCGAGCCCATCTTTCCTTTTGAATTGAGGCTATTATTTATTTGGATCCGGCTCAGATAAAGAGACCTGGACCCACCTTCAGTTCCCCTTTTAGTTGCCCATTTAGTTGGCCATGGAATGGATTCTTAGGCCCCTCGGTAACCAGCTGAAGTTGACACTACCACAGGCCCTGCGGCTAAAGTCTGTTGGATTTTTTGCCCCAAAGTTTGTCAATAGAGCACAGAGTTCTTTTATTTATGGATGGAGTTACTGAGCCCTGTGGAACCCCTTGTGCCTCTGCAATAGGCCACAGGAACCATGCACTACGGCCAAACTTTAATGACCAAAATGAGAAGACTCCAAGACTAAGCCACATGCCCAGCATGGTCCTTTTCTCTCTGGAGCACCATCTATGGGGAGGACTTGTCTGGTATGAGTTGGTCTGTTTGGCCTGATTTCAGGCCTTTCACTGGTGCCAGCAAAAATGAAAATGCTCTCCCCTAACAGAGTGGAGAGACCCCCTCAGCCGTTTCCTCTGTGATGCAAGATGCTGGGTTGCTGGAAGATAAAGCCGAAGGGGTGGGAGCAGTCAGCCAGGGAGCACCTTAAACTATGAATAATTCTCCACAGGTCATGTGAGGAGGACGACGAAGCAGCCATATACCCCGTTGAGCTGAGAGGAGATATAGGGCAGAGAGTCTGAGCCCACGGGTGAGGCAGGGGGTGAGCACACCGCCAGCAGTGCCTGCCCTGGCAGGGCCCTGTGGAAGGAGCTGTGTGTGCACGCGTGGCCGCCACTAACCCGGGGACTTAGGCGTGGATGTGTCTCTGTGGTTGTGCCTGGCTAACTCGGCCTTGATGGTCGATGCCCCTAACCCATCTAAACACCCCCAGTCAAGCCGAGTGCCAGCACTAATAAAGGCCTAACCCTAAGTTCTCACCAGACGGGGATCATAAATATTAGCTTTGTCTTCTCCGTCTCCCTGCCCCTGGAGAACTTGGCTTCCCCGTTCTGTGGCTTTATGTTGGGAAGGGATTGTTTTCAAAACCATGGAACCAAGCTTCCCACTATGAGAGGCTGGTGCCCTGGATAACTAGATGGCACTCCTGACTGTAGCCATAGGACTTAAACCACATGTGGGTCTTCATGTGGCTGTGTCAGGGCTGAACGAAGCCTGGGAAGAAAGTAGCAAGAAAAGGCTTTTTCTTTTTTTTTCTTTTTTTGCCTGAGTTTGAAAGAAAGGCTGCTTGAAATAAAATGGAAACAAATCAACTGAAACAAACAAAATGGAAACAGAATCTCCCTAGGGATGGCCATATCAACATGATTTTAAGTTTAGAGCTTTCTTGCCCTTTATTGAAGGTACATCAACATTTGTAAAACTTCACACATGCCTTTTGAAAAAATCCACGTTTAACCTTAGGAATCTGTTGTGGTTTCTAATCATGCTTTTCTGTGTCCCCCAGCCCACCAGCATCCCCACCCTTGAGCTTGTGTGAGATGGGCCTGTTCTAGTATCCCCACCCTGTGCTGACCTCCAAGGGCTGAGGTCACCTGAGTGTGGAGCCAGATGGTGCCCCTAGCTTGTACGTTGCTTTGAACCTCATGCTCCCCATGAGGGAGGGGGCCCCTTCTCTGGTCTTTCCAAAGACCTGCTCGAGAATGGGCCCTTTTCTTTCCCATTCCCTCCTTTGGTGCCTTTCCCAGAGTACATGGACTTCCTTCTGCCAGACTGGGGAGAGAAGCCTCCATTCCCACCTCCTGGGGACCATGCAGCTGACCTGCTCCAAGGCACACTGGCAGCCCCAGCAAAATCCTGGAGCTGACACCAGCGCATGTCCCATGAGACTGTTAGGAGGGCTGTGCATCTTTGCTCCTTGGTTGCTCATTGAGAAGCAGTATAGGGTTTCCATGCCTCTTTGGCCTCCCCCCGGATCCCTGTAGCAGCTGTTAAAAGAGAACCTTTCCAAGCTTTGCACAGTGACAGTATCATAGCCAATGAGGTTTATTACTAGGTGAAAAATTTCCCCAATACCCTGCCGTGATGACTTGAAATATAGGCAGCATTGGCAATTTTTCAGTCTCTAGGGATACTGAATTATTAGGTTGGTGCAAAAGTAATTGCAATTATAAAAAAAAAAAAAAAAAGAGAGAGAGAGAACCTTTCCTGCTTTTTAAGCAGACAACAATGCATTTCCCTCTGCTGCCCTTCTGGAAGCTTTTCTGTCCTAATGGACTCCATGACTGGATCCCAATTGCTGGAACCTAGTGAGTCCCTAGTGAGCACAACACAAGTGAACAAACAAATCTTTCTCCTATCCTTGGGTAACTCAGGCTCCACACATTTCAGTGGACCTTTCCCTGGGTAGTGCCATTGATGTAGATCTCTTCATATGAGACATGTCTCCCCCCGACCCTCTAACTCCACTGGTTAGAATGGATTTGGGCAAGGATATAAGAAGGGTTAAGGGCAGCACGGTGCAGAGGAAAGGGCTCTGCACCTGGGATTCAGGAGCTCAGGGCCACAACTGACTGGATGGGCACAGCCTGGCCTCAGTCCACACACTGTGGCCATCCTTTCCCTTCCTAAGATAAGGAATATCTCATCTCCCAGAGTCCTGGTTCACGTCTTGTTTCAGGGAGAAGTAGGTACTAGAAAGGAACACTGGAATCTGGGTAAATTTGATGGGGAAAGAATGCCTTTTTGCCAAAGGGCTTCCTTTCCTGTTCTCTAACAGATTTAGAGTCCCTCCACTTGGGTTATCCACTTTACAGCCAGATGTGACACCAAGTAAACCCCTAACTCTGAGCCTGTTTCTTCATCTGCAAAGGGGACAACTGTACCCACCAACCAGGGATGGGCAAAGGGGATCATGTGCAGCTTCCTGTTAACTTAAACCATGCTTCTCTTGAAGGGTGAGAGGGAGGAGCACACATGGACAGAGCCTTTGGGGGCCTCAGCTGGGGAACCCTCTCATCGTGTCCTGGGTCGTCCCTCTACCCCCTGCAGGAGACTGGCCACTGACCCTTTCTATGGAGCTCGTGGGTATTTCTGGTGAATAACCTGTCATCTCTTCTTTCAGCCTTAACTCAGCCCCAACTCCAGCTTGTGGCAGCTCCAGCCACTTGAAATCCACGCCGGTGGCCACACCATGCACTCCACGGAGACTGAGCCTGGCTGAGTCCTTCACTAACACCCGTGAGTCCACGACCACCATGAGCACATCCCTCGGGCTCGTGTGGCTGTTGAAGGAGCGGGGCATTTCTGCGGCTGTGTACGACCCCCAGAGCTGGGACAGGGCCGGCCGGGGCTCTCTCCTGCACTCCTACACACCCAAGATGGCTGTGATCCCCTCTACTCCGCCGAACTCGCCTATGCAGACACCCACATCCTCCCCACCCTCCTTTGAGTTCAAGTGCACGAGCCCTCCCTACGACAACTTCCTGGCTTCCAAGCCGGCCAGCTCCATCCTGAGGGAAGTGAGAGAAAAGAATGTCCGCAGCAGTGAGAGCCAGACCGACGTGTCCGTCTCCAACCTCAACCTCGTGGACAAAGTCAGGAGGTTTGGGGTGGCCAAAGTGGTGAACTCAGGGCGAGCCCATGTCCCCACCTTGACTGAGGAGCAGGGACCTCTCCTCTGTGGGCCCCCGGGGCCAGCACCAGCCCTTGTCCCCAGAGGCCTGGTACCTGAGGGCCTGCCCCTCGGATGCCCCACTGTCACCAGTGCCATCGGTGGGCTGCAGCTGAATAGTGGCATCCGGCGGAATCGCAGCTTCCCCACCATGGTGGGATCTAGCATGCAGATGAAGGCCCCCGTGACTCTCACCTCGGGCATCTTGATGGGTGCTAAGCTCTCCAAACAAACTAGCTTACGGTGAGGACTGGAGGGGGGCCGGTTGCCCTGGAGGAGACCCATGTTCTCCTCTCTTGCTCCCACCTCCCTCTCTTCCCCTTACAGTGCACTTCCTCCCTCTGCCCTTCTCTGTCCACCCCCTCCTGAGCTAGACAAATCAACCTCGTGCCTAATGGAGGAAGAGTGGAACCTTTGTAAAATGTGTACATAGGACTTGGAGACCTCGTGTCCACCCTGCTCTTTCTTCCGATCCCACAGGAAGTGCCCCTGCACTGTCATCACTCTCACGAGGACGTCACCTGTGCTAACCTGGGGGAAGGTGGGGTCCTTTCTTCTTTCCTTTTGAGAAGCACTGAAACTCCCAAGTGTGTTCTTATCCCATGGATAGGAAACCAGTGAATTCCGTGGCTGGCACACCACGAGCTGTCAACGCGGCACGGGTCATAACATATCTGGGTGTCATCGGACACCTCGCCTCACCCACCCTGTAGGAGCGTAAGGAGCCTCCATCCTCAGCCATGTGCCGCTGACGTGGCTTTCCTGATCGGAGGGCTTTTCTTTCTTTTATGGGTGGCCCAGCTTCTTCAAGACCTTCACTACTCTGCCTCAGTGGACAGTCGTTTCCTTTCTGAGGTGTGACCTTTTGTTTTCATGCCTTCCCCTTGAAGTCATCCTGTGTTTTGTAATCAGCTGTCAGGCCAAATGTCTGACCCGAAAGAGAATGTATTTACACTCGTGCTGCGTTCAGCAGCCCCTCTGTGTTCTGTGTGATTTGTTTTACTTTTCCTTTTTTTTAAATATATATGCAGGGAAGTAATGGTACTGGTAGTGTATGTTTTCTATGTGGTTCAAATATGAATTTCAAACACACCAAGCCGCTAATGAGATAGCAGCTTTTTTCTGGGACCCAGAGTCACAACCAAATTGATTTAAGACCAGACCCAAGACACCTTTAACAATAAGAATGAAAGGAAAAAGGATAGGGAAAAAGCTTATTTAAAGAAACGTGTCAACACCAAACGTAGAGGGGAAGAACCACAACTAGGCATAATACCAAACTGGTTCCAGGGGGAAACAAGGCTTTGGCATTCCACTGGCTCCAGCGCTTCCTCGAAAACCCAAGACTGGCCAGGGTGCTGTCACCGTGCAGTCTTTGATTGCAGCCATTCAGTGCCCACGTTTTGCCTTCTTGTTTCAGAAGAGCACGTGGTCACAACAAAGTATTTTCTTTCCCTCCAAAGCCTTTTGTCTCCTTGTGCCACTTTTTATCCTTAGGAAAAGATCCAGGTGCTTGTGAAAAGAACCATGAATGCAACAAGGGAGGCTGGTCCTGTTGCTGTCGCCGATGAAATTTTTAACTTTTATTTATTATTTATGTCTGCCGTATTTTAAATAAACATTCTCGTTCCTTCCAGTTCCAGTCATAGTGTGTCTGTGGCATTCCAGTCCAACCACATAATTTATTTATTCTAATTTGAGGGCTGCACTGTACATCATGGTGTCCCGTGACACTGTGTTCCAGACATTTATGGAAGGAAAACATCCCATGTAAATGAAACCGTCATTCGGTGTCCTCCCTCGCAGCAGAAGATGTGTCCTTCCATTGAGTGAGGGTGACCTTATGTCCAGCAGGGATACTTTGAGAAAGCCCCTAAGGAGCAAGCCTCAGTCCCACAGTTTCAGACTATTTATTCTCTGAACACAAGAGTATTGGTTAATTATGTTCTCAGTTCTCCTTGCTGTTACATGTGTGCACTCACTGCAAGTAACTTATATCTTTTTATTTGAATGTATTTTAAAGCGGTAGATAGAATAACAAAGGAGTATGAAAACCATGGACTGAATGGACCATTTTATGTATTCAGAGAGAGGAGCCACTCATCGTTGCCAGATATACCATGTAAAAATTGGCAGTTCAGAGGTTGCAATATTTAGTATAGTAAATAAATAAACGATCAACATTGTGCAACCACTACCAAAAAGTGTGTTGTAATGCATCAAAAATCAACAAAATTTTATTCACTAATGAGTATCAATAAAATAAGTTCAAATGATGGAAACCACACCGGTATTCTGATTTGTATTTTGTTTTTATCTTTTCATCAAGGAGACGATCTCTTTATGTAAGACTTGAAAGTGTTTAGCTCTTTGCAAAATTAAATGAAAGGCATATACTTCACATACTGTTATATGCCTTCTTTCTTTTAACATGATATCATACCTTAGACAACTTTCCAATCAGAGTCTGAAGATGTCCCTCACTTTTCAAGGCTGTGTACTATTCCAGTGTGTGCATACACCTGCTGTGAATATATACATGCCTTTATGAACCATCCCTTACAGATGGTCACTGGGATAATTCTTTTTTCTTTCCTTTTTTTTTTTTTTTTTTTTTTTGAGACAGGATCTCACTCCATTGCCCAGGCTGCAGTGCAGTGGTACAAACATGGCTTACTGCAGCCTTGACCACCTGGGCTCAAGTAATCCTCCTGTCTCAGCCTCCCAAGTAGCTAGGATCACAGGTGTGTGCCACCATGCACAGCTAATTTTTTTTTATTTTGTGTGTTTTGTAGAGGTGGGGGTCTCACCATGTTGCCTATGCTGTTCTTGAAGTCCTGGGCTCAAGTGGTCCTCCTGCCTCAGCCTCCCAAAGCACCAAGATTATAGGTGTGAGCCACTGTGCCTGGTGTCACTGGGTTAATTCTTACCTTTTGCTATCAAGGTACTGTAATGTAAAAACCTTACATGTATGCGATTGTCCACATATGTGAATACATCTGTGAAATAAATTCCTAGATGGTTATTGCCAAATTGCCTTTCACAGAGCTGTGTTAAGAGACAACCAAGGACAGTGGAGGTCCACCAGATGGAGAATTGTGAGAAGAACAAAAGAAAATAAATATTCTGCCACCTCAATATTTGAAAGCAGTGAGATTATGCAAACAAACACTGTGGTGGGATGTGGCATCATGGATTTTAAGTCAGGTGCTAACCATTTAGCAATGGTGTGACCTTGGGCAAGCCACTTACCATCTTTAGGTCCTCCGTTTTTTCTTTTTTTTAACCTGTGACATGAGAACAGTAATGCACCTTAGAGTTTAAACTGTTGAGTAAATGTATTTTGAGCACCTACCATGTGCCAGGCATTGTAGGTACTGGGGACGGGCAAGTGAGCCAGTTTCTGCTGTCACGGAGTGTACAATCTAGAGAGAACAACACCAAGTGTAGAATAACAAGGGCTGTGCAGAGAATTAAAATAGGGTGGTGTGAAGGAGTGAGTGGCTGCTTTGGATTGGACAGTAAGAGAAAGCCACTCCAGGGAGGGGCACTTGAGTGAAGCATGTGAGATCTGGCACAAGAGCATTTCGGCAGAGAGAGCAGCTAGTGTAAAAACCCAGAGGCAGAAAAGCACTTCGGTGCATTCGAAGAACTAAGAGAAGGCCTGTGTGGTAGTGGGCTGGTAGGATCAAGGGAGTGCGGTGGTAGCAGAAATGATGGTGCTCACCAAATGATTCGTCTGATCCCCATTTCCCAGCCATTGCTGTTGGGCAGATCACATGATTAGTGGCTGGCCAGTGGGCAATAAGCAGAGAAAAATCAGTGCATGACTTTGTGCATGACTCTCTTCCTGTGTGTTAAACCCTCAGGTCACGTATTGAAGTGCTGGAGTCTCCATCATCCTGAGTCCCCAAATATGTGGACCAGAGCTTCCTGCCAACATATTTGACACGTAACCTGATGGAGAAATAAACTTTGTTGTTAAGCCAGTAAGATTTTTTGATAGTGCATTAGAACCCCGGGTATAGGACCTAGGTATCTGTGTTTTAACAAGCCCGCAAGATGATTCTGGTGTGCACCAAAGTTTGAGACCCACTGCACTAGACCAGGTGGAGTTTGGGTGGGAGTTCTGCTGTGGGAGGCAAATTCTCCTTTCCAGTCTCTCTTTGTCTCAGGGCTCTAAGAAGGCCAGATAGCCACAGCCCATCTTACTTGAAGGGAAGGGAGAGAGAGAGTGGGTGGGCTTAACTGCCCAGCAGGGGCAGGGAAAGCTTTGAGGTAAGGTGACCCTGTATCTGGGTTTCCAGGATTTGCCAAGTGGGGGAGGCATTCCAGGCAGATGAAGGATGGAAAGGGGATTCTAGAATGCATTCCTCTATGCCCTTCCTTACAGTAGAAGGAAGGTGAATGACAAATATAGAAGGGACAATAGAATTAGCAAAACAACCATTTGGCCGGTTGCAGTGGCTCATGCCGGTAATCCCAGCACTTTGGGAGGCCAAGATGGGTGGATCACCTGAGGTTGGGAGTTCGAGACCAGCCTGACCAACATGGAGAAACCCTGTCTCTACTAAAAATACAAAATTAGCCGGGCATGGTGGCGCATGCCTGTAATCCCACGTACACAGGAGGCTGAGGCAGGAGAATTGCTTGAACCTGGGAGGCAGAGGTTGCGATGAGCTGAGATCGTGCCATTGCACTCCAGAACAAGAGCGAAACTCTGTCTCAAAAAACAAACAAACAAAAACCCAACCATTTTGAAACCACAATACTAACTAATTCAGACAACAATGGATGTTAAAACCATTGGGTAAAAATTCCTTAGGCAGCAGAGTATTTACACCCATTGTATCTTCCCACAAAATGCTTATTAATTTACAAAGGAGGGAAGATATATTTGCAGTGGATAACCCTGTGGTACACCACTTTAAACAAGTTGTAAAATGTAATGTTACCCAAAATAGGACAAACTGCTATAAGACATCACCTGTTATGAGATGTACTGGGAGGGACACGTATCATGCTGTGCTGTTCCTGCCACAAACGCAAAACCTGAACCATGTGGTTGACAAATTGAGGGACATCTATCATTTTGTAAAACAATGTACCTGTCCCTTTAAACATTGTCAGTATCATGACAAAGACTGAGGAACTGTTCCAGATTAAAGGAGGATGAAGAGACAAGGCAACAAATGTAATTCATGATCTGAATGGGATACTGGAGTGGGAAAAAATGCTATAAAAGACAGTGTTGGGACAATCAGAAATTTGAATATAGAGCATGTGTTTTTAAAATTGTATCAATGTGAAATTTACCAAGTTTGATAATTGCACTGTGGATATGTAAGGGCATGTCGTATTTCCTAGGAGCTAAAGGATTAAGATAAAGGGGTTTGGTGTCTGCAAGTCACTTTGAAGTGTTTTCAGAAAAAGTAAAGAATAAACTTAATAATAAAAAGGTGTAGGAGCAAAAAGAGTTCATTTCAAACGGCGGGAAGCCCTCTACTGATAGATGTTTTGTAAACCCTAGAAGGCATTCTTTTGTCTCGTGTGTGATGGGAGGATGTTCAAGGTGGTTTGGTGCATCTTTCCTGTTCTATGCCAAATTCCTTCATGTGTACCCCAAGCCCTTCTCCCAGCCCAGGAAGTTCAAAAGAGGACGTCATGGCCTAAGGGAGAAGTTGTCAAGGAGGCATTTGGTGAGACCAGAAAACAAAGATAATAAAATTCCTGGTTTTCAAATATGAGGAAGGACAAAGCTGAGTATGTGTTTTGGTGTGAGACCAAAAGATTTAGAAGGAAACTTGTGGAACCAGTTTTTCTCTCTCGCTTTAAAAAAAAAACCATATTTTAAAATGTTTAAAGCATCAAGTTGGTGAAATAGTTTCTCTTTTTACTGCTTACTCCTCCTCTGCTACTCCTGCTTGCCAAACACAAAGGACAAGGACTTCATGCAGATTCTCCAGGCCATGGGTGTTGGAGAGGGATGCCAGCGTTCAACCGGTGTGGAAGCCTTTCTCCTTTCCGTCTGGGCCACATCCAAGGTTATAGGAGAAGCCCCTGATGAGTTTGGGACTCCAAGGGCAGATGAGCTCATTTGGCAGGGGTCCTGGGGAAGTAAGGATGTTCCAGAATCCCTCCCCAGCAACTCACCCCATCACAGGGCAGGGACCACATGGGGCAGTGAGGAAGTACAAGTGCCAGCAGATGCGTCTCAGTGGAGAAGTCCCAGGAGATTCTGAAGTACCTGGCCCCAGACAGATGTAGGAATCATTCCACACATTGCCTGGGAGCAGAGAGGCAGGTACGTCCTGAAGAGCCTTGCCAACAGGACAAAGGAAGTGGACACCAGCCTCCCCCGCAGCTCTAGCCAGGGCCAGCACCCAGAACCTAGATGCCACCTGGGGAGAAGTTGGTGGAGGAGGAAAGTCATGCTGAATTGCCTGAGTCGATTGAGAGCTTATAATAGGGATTAAGTCAAGATTTAGAAAAAAATGAAATTTTTTGTACATCTGAGCTCATGACTCGAAGACTTCATATCCTTAAAGGATTTCTTCTTCCGTAGCCAGCAGAGGGCGCTTGGAGACTGCAAAAGACTTGCCCTAATCCAATCACAAGATCAGATGGGTTTGCTTTTCCCCCGGAAAGTAGTTCAGGGCGGGCAACTCTGCCTCCTGGAGCCCCCAACACCCTCACTGTAAATAGAGTGCTTGTTTCTGCGGGTGCAAGTTGAGAGGAAATGACCAGGAAGAAGGCCTGGCCCCTCACATTCCAGAGCCCCTCCCTGGGGCCAGGAGTCTGGCATCCCTTCTGTAGCTTCGGTGGATTCTCGGGGCTGCTGTGGTTGGCAGGGGGGTGGGGGGCGGGTAGCGTTGCCATGCCAGATCCCCAAGGACTCCTTAGGTGGACGAGTCTTCCCTCCTGAGCCTGGGTTCCTCCGTTCCATTCTTCCTATCAAGATGTCCTGAGTCCTCGCTGAGTCCGACTCAGTTCCATGCTGCTCTGTGGATCCACAGAGGAACGGACACAGTCCCAGCCCATGAGAGGGGCTGCCTCTGCGTGGGCAGCAGGAGTGGTCATGACAGTGGAGGGAGTCCCTGTGCTTGGGGGCTCAGGAGCCACTTGAGGGAAGGCATGAGCATGGTCTCAGTTCTCCAGGGGAACTGGAGGGAGGCATTCCAGAACAAGAGGACAGCATGTGCACAGGCTTGGGGGGCAAGTGAAGAAATTAATCATAGAATGAGGAGGAAGCCACCTTGCCTGTCATGCTGCCACACCCAGGAAGTA